TTTTATTCTTTAGACTGCAGTGATTCCAAGTAAAGAAGTACATTCCAGAGGTTTATCTAAAATGAAGCAAAATCAACTCAAACTATTTTAACCCAATTTAAATCAGAATATGAGAAGCTAATAAATAGCAGCTGCTTTATTCACGTGACCTTGACTTTCAATCTCAGATGATTGTCACGATGTCATGACACACCCCTCAATCCTTAATCAAAGAAATCATTTTTAACTGATCAAATGAGTAATGTACCATTTGTTTTTAAATACCTGCGTACTTACAGTAATACATATTCAATGTCTGATAATAATGAGCAATGAACGAGTACCCCAATGATTTGAAATTCCTAATGAGTAACCAAAGTTAACCAAAAAAATTCATCACCAAAACAACAAGAGCACTGAATATGTACAAAAAACACTCACCTTGAGCTCGGCCGGCATCGTATCGTAAACGTTGGTTAACGTTGTCATGGCAAAAACGCACTCATTCACTTTTTCAACTCTCGATGGTTATCTTGCTTAGCAATTCTCCAACAAATATCAACAATGTCTCTTACCGGCTGCAGTTGCTATTCTAACAAAACAACAATCAGAGGGACATCCCCATCGTCAAAAGTTTTCACCACCGATGGATCAAATAACAAACTGCAGCGATGCACACAAGAAGCACAATGAATCTGACGTTCCTCGAAGATGTCACACTTTGTTTTCTCCTTGGGAAATCGTGGTTTCCTGTGCTAACTTTTCCAGAACGATAGCATGCACACACGTACTTGATTTTACTCTTGAATTTTAACGGACGCACAACACACTAAGTAGAGGCGGTTAAAAATTTTTTCTCGCCGCACTTCAAATCATAGAGGACGCTTCGATACCACACGTTGGCCAATCATAGCGCAGGCCGCAGCTTAAAAAAAAATTTTTTTTCTGCATTTAAGCGACATCTAGGGTACAACTGATAAACAAAAATTTAAAAAAAATTCGCCAATAAACCGGCAGCATAATTTGAATTAGGAAGTTTTTAAGTTTGAAATAGTTTAGCTTTAATGTTTCGAGTAAATATATAGAGGTACATAAAAAAAGGTTGATAAGTGAGAAACCGTTCCATGACTCATTACTTTACAATCTTAACATTAGGATACAAAAGAAATGAAAATATAGATAAATGATCAATTGTTAATTTTTTTATTCAATATATATTTATAATTGTCAATCTCTCCTCATAAATGCTTAAGAAACTAAATTGGAAAAGTCTAGTATCAACACACACATATATTATTTGCTACCTTTACAGCTTTGAATAGTGTCTCCGCTACATCTTTCACACGTAATAGCATAAACTCACATTCTCTTTTTGTTATCTTTGCTCAACTCAACATTTGTCCGATATACTCCATCCAGAATAGTTCAGTCATACTATTCACATGTGAAAAAAGAAAAACAACCTGAGCGATCTTTTCTCTTTTATTGCTATTTTAATTTTTTAATTGTTACTACTACTTACGTTAATTATAAGATGAAAAATATTTACAATAATGCATCTCTTCCTGTCTTATCCAAGGTAAAAATAATTCAAGATAAGCACACAGGTGTTGAGAGGCTCTTTTTTGCATGAAAAAAAAGATAAGAAAATCACATATTATTTTTCTTTTTTGCGTTTTATATTACAATAATATATAAATATAATCTTTGTCATTCTTTAAGGACGGACGAACAGTTCATTCAAACTACAAAATATTCGTCCTTAAGGCACCTTAAAATTTTTGTTCCCCATTGGAGTTAAACGCTCGTCTCATCACAGAACTGTGCAAACACACGTCACACGAAAATTTATTACAATTTGTTCATTTTTATTAAAAAATTTTTTTTTTCCTACGAATATATATGCTTAGCAGATACATAAGCCAATGACTACATTCTTTTTTTTGTTTTTTCTTTCATACTTCACATTTTATCCAATATAACTGTATGGTATAACCAATTGACGGTCAAGGATATTTACAAAATAGATGGATTGTGCCATGAAATACGATTCATCAAACTCTCTATACAATTTGTGAATAAGAGGTACAAGTTATATATTTATTTCTTAAATAACTTTTTTTCAAAATATATTTCGGCTCTAGCAACGATTAAAATAATTTACTGAAATTTACTGAAATATATTAAAATTTATCGTAATAAGTTATTTAATTTGTTCAGTTCTTTTAAAGTTTATGTTACTTGAATATTTTGTTTAATAATGTTTTACATAAGGCTTCTCATAAAAAACGTAAGCCTTTCGTTTGTCGAGTCATCGAGTAATGTGCAACTCGCAAGGACATACAAGTAGGATAATTGAATATGGTGAGCATTACTTTGAAATAGACAAATGCAGTGCATTGTATACGTTATTTTTCAATTCCAAAAAAATCACTGATGATAGCTCAAGTTATACCAATTTACAAGGTTCTGGAAGTAGATATTGACTTCGAGGTATCGTTTATCGATTGCAAGAAAGTTTAAAAAAAATTTTTGTTAGAGAACTGCATTGGATAAGTCTAATCTCAAACACACACACACACACACACACTACACACCCCTAATTCATTTGTTACAATTAGCTCCAAATAGTGTCTCCTTTACATCTTTCCCACGTAATAGCATAAACTCACATTCTCTTTTTGTTAATCTTTGCTCCACTCAAAATTTGTCCGATATACTACATCCGGAATAATTTAGTGATACTATTTTTTACACGTGAATAAAGAAAAAGAACCTGAGCGCTCTTCCCTTTTTTTTTTTATTTTAATTGTTTAACTGTTACTACTACGAACATTAAAAGTAAAATGAAAAATTATTTACAATAATGCATTTCTTTCTATCTATTTATCAGGTAATAATAATTCAAGAAAAGCACACTGTTGGTAAAAGGCACTTTTTTGCACAAAAGAAAAGATGAGAAAATCATCTAATTTTTGTTGTTCTTTTTCCAATTTTGTGTTACAATAATTTATATTAATCCTTTAAGGACAAACGAACAATTTATTTAAACTACGGAATATTAGTCTTTAAGGCACCTTAAACTTTTTTTCCCGTTGGAGTGTAACGCTCGTCCCATCACAGAAATGTGCAAAAGCGCGTCACACGCAAACGTAGTATAAATTTTTTAAGTTAATTTAAATTTTTTTATTTTCCTACTAGTTAACTTTACAGAAACACAAGCCAATGACTGCTTTGTTTTTGTTCTTTTTTTTTAAACTTTGTATTGTATGTATAAGTAAGTGATGGTAAGGGTAAGTATTTACAAAATAAATGAATTGAACAATGAAATGACATTCTTTGAACTCTTTAAAAAACATGTCAATAAGAGGTGAAAATTATATATTTATTTCTTAAATAACTTTTTTTTTAAATATACTCCGGCTCTAGCAACGATTAAAGAAGTTTATCAAAATGTACTTAAATGTACCCAAAATTACGATACATCATGGTCACTTCGTATATTCAGTTCTTTTAAAATTTGTATTACTTGAATACTTTGTTCCATAATAGTTAAGATAAAGCTTCTACGAGAACATAAAAAGCCTTTTGTCTAGTGTCGCTTATGGTGATATCCAGCAATGTTCGACTCGCAAGAAGCTGTAGGATAATTAAATATGGTGAGCATTACTTTGAAATAGACAAATACAATGTATTTATTGTATACGTCATTTTCAAATACTAAAAAGATCCTAGGTATGAGCTAGGATTCTAAGTACTAATTTAAAAGGTTTAGGAAGTAGATATTGACTTCAAGGAATAGTTTATCGATCGTAAAGAAAGTTTTAAAAAAATTCTTATTGGAGTAGTATATACAATCTTTTTTTTTTTTTTTTTTTTTTCGAAGTAATTAAAACTAGTGGTTCTATGGACTGATGATTTTTTTGCATAAAAAAATCTTGCTTTCGTGTTCACGCAGACTACATATAAATTCGACTTACATCTAATAAATGAAGCTTACATATACATATATATTCCAACAATAAGTTGCAAAAGCATTTAGAGCTTTTTTGAAAAAATAACTGGTCCAAGTAACACAGGAAAAACAAATCATTCGTTTTATTTTTGCAATGTTTACGGAATTACACAAAAATTATCTTTTAAAACAATGTTATATCCTTCATATAATCAAGATGTTGTTGGACAATTGTGCACGCCTGTAAGGGAATGGATAAGCAGATTTTAAACTCGAAGTTTGTGTCACTAGTTTTCGTAGAAAGCTTTATAAAATTTTTATTGTTCATTTGAAAGCGAATGCAAAATTAGAAAAATCAAAAATCGCATACACTAGATAACGGTAGTATTTTATTTTTTTAACTTTAAAATTGATAAGCGAATGAAAACTTGAAAAATTCCTGCTCCAAAATTTCTTTCATTTCGGTGCAAGAATTATTCAAGTTTTTATTCAAGTATTAATTTCAAATTTTGTACAGTGATAAATAATACTGTTATCCAGTGTATGCAATCTTTTATTTTGCATTTGTTTTTAATTAAACATTAAGTATTATGCATAGTTACTGACAGAGGCTGGTGGTGCGAGATGGAAATTCAAAATCTGCTTTTCTATCCCTTTAATTTTCATGAGAATTCGTCAAATAATTTTTGATTCAACAGAGTAAATATACACGTAACTTTTCAACACTGTAAATAGATGTACCTGTAGTTCAAACAATACCAAATTTGGCAGATTTTAAAACTAAAGCAAATATCATAGCGACTTTCATGATTGAATGTGTCAAATTTTTGACTGTTTTTTTTTCTTTACAAAAATACTAAAATCTTGATTTCTCTCGGTAGTAATTATATTATTGTTTTAAGTAAAATTCTTTTAGAAAAGTTCAAAGCTTGCTGCTGCAATAACTTTGACAAAAATTCGTTAGTACAATTTAACTCAAATAAATAAAAATAAAAAAAAAAAAAAAAAATATTTTCAATATAAAAAATGATGACTAAAAAGTACAAGTTTTTAGTACATTTAGCAAGACACACCTGCAACTGCAATATAATTTTTTACTTTTTGACTAGTCATAAGCAAAAAGAAGCCCGAATTAAAAGCTACTCTACTTACTGAAATGTACTTACACCCCGACTACATTAATAGTCTCTTCGCATCCATAAATTTCTTCTCGTGCAACGTCGCGTTAAAAAAAAAAGCGAAGTATTTCCCGTTGCACACTAACACACCGGACTAATAAAAATCGGCACCACTGATGTTGACACGTTACTTTGTTTTACCAACACTATTTTTGGAAGATAAAACTAGGCACCGGTAAATACAGTGAGAGAAGGCGCGTAGACGTAAAAATTAATAAGGCATTGAGCAATCACGATAAAGAGAAATTATGTAACTCCTACGTATAAGGCTCGTTCTGATCAGGCAGCCTTGGCGATGTGGATGGGTTTTTTTGTATGCTAGACGGTGGAGTGAGCAAGTCGCTTTGTTCCTGAATTTCTGCCGGACTACTGGCTTCTGAGTCGAGTATACCTTCCAGTTCTAGGCAATCGGCTAGGATCATGCTTTGGCGCTGCTGGGAGAGTTCGAGCATCTCGAGATCGACTGTATGGGACTGGATTCTGTGCGACTGGTCGATGTTGATGTTGGGCACGCTAGCTCGCAGGCCCGAGGCTGCATTGTTGTTATCAATTATCGGAGCACTACTGCGAAGCTGACGCTGGGCACTCTCCTCGGAAACAGTGACGGCGAAAGTGCTCATCCACTGAGCGCACGGGGCAAGCTGTTCCCAAGTCATACGAGAAACTCGCAGTGCTGTTTCTCTGCCCTATGGAACAAACATTTTTTTTCTGTTGAAAATCAATTGTTCAATCGTACTCCAAATTAATATTAAGATGATTTCAATGAGTAGGTATGTTTTTATTTAACTTACGAGTTTTTTAGAAAAAAAAATCATGTTGTTTTAATTTTAAGTAAATTCTACATTGAATCATATTTTGAGTGGGAGTGTGGGTGCAGTATTGAGTTTTTCTAAGATACAGGTCTAAAAATGAGTTTGAAAAATTCATAATTTTTTTTTTTTTTTTTTTTTTTTTGAGAGGGATTGACTTAAGATGTTGCCGATTGGGTTTCGAAGTGTGATTAATGTAGTACTTACGTTGGGAGTGACCTCGAAAAAAAAAAAAAGAATTTGAGCGCTTTCAATATTAGTGGAAAGTGAATGAATAATGATTTGTTAATAAAAATCAGTAAAATGTTGTTAAACTTACAATTGTTGGGTCGCAAATTCATCGCGAAATTTTAAATGCTTACCTGTCACATTATTCGAGATTGCAGCATAATTATCAATCAAACTACTGTATTTCCTTTGTCACATATCAAAAGTCAAACTTAACAACTCGTCATTAAAAAAAAAAGAAAAAAAAAGAAAACAGATTTCGTCGAATGCATTATTGATATTTGTTCAAGTTTCTTATCAACTTTAATGAGCTCCCGAATCGTAGATATGATATCGTGTTTGTAATGACGATAGCAATTTAAAAAATATCTCGAAAACGTATATCACAAATCTCGAGGATGTGCGTGATCAGCGTGATTTTTTTTTTATACTTAATAAAATGTACGAAAGGTATACGTACCTAATATGAACAAAAATATGTGCGTACAAGACGTACTAGTACTACTTGGCGCCGATGGCTGTGAATCAGTAGAATACCGTCGCGTATGGTCAGACGTGATCTACACGTAGAATTACAGTACAACGTGGAAGTCGTTTACCTACCTATACTTTCGACTAAACAATGTTCGGAGCGTGGATGTTTTTTTTTAACTTGCAATTGTTTAATCAATATACGTTTTCACGATTTTAAAGTTGATTACTGTAACGAACAATGTTACATTTTTGATTAAATATTGATTTTTTAAATTTCGTATTAATTTGCAAAAAATTGGCATAATTGATTTGATGAAAAAAAAAAAAAAAGAAGAAAAAAAGTCCTGACTCGTGATAATTGATGAGTCATAAAATATTCTCATCATTCTCACGAGTAACAGTTGGAATAAGGTGGGGTGAACAAACTTTCCATGTTCAACAAAATATGCTAATTTCGTAAAGCAATATTTGGTCATTCAGTAATACTAAAGCAACTTTGTTCATTCCACAGGATTTCTCGAGATTAAAAGATATGTATTTATCAAGTTTAAGGGCGATATACTTACTCCTATTGTATCAACTGTTTTACGATTTACTTACTTGGCATAAAAATTGTGAAGGGTTGTTGTTGGGAGTATTAATGTATCAATTGAGGGGGGGGCCTTATAAAACGAATTATGATAGATTACAAATAATTTCAAATTTTTAGAGTTTTAAATACCTACAAAATGGCGTGTCTAATGCGTATTCGAGATTTGGTTTCTCAACGCCATTTTGAGAACGAAAATTTAAATTCACTGCAAACAAAATTCAAAAACCCATATGTCTATGATAATAGGAAAAATTGTACAACAGATGAGTAGATTTGTTATTATAAAATGATACATAAAAAAAAAAAAAATTATCATGGGTAAGTGTAACTTAAAAAAATAATTACAGAATTTTATCTCATGTTTAGAATAATTTGTTGGAATTGATAATGTGTGCACAGTAAGCATAAATAACCAACATACCATTGTGTGAGAAATAGCGGAGACTGCCAGCATGCGATACGAGAACTTAAGACTGCCCTCATCCAGTGTCGCTAAGTCAACAAGCTGGGAGGCTTGAGAATACTGCAGACCTTCAAACTGAGGATAGATGAAAGTATTGGGGTTGGTCATGTCGCCACATTCAGTCTGCATAAATATGCTGAGCCACGTTGGTGGTATTAGGCTTTCTAGTTTCCACTCGAGATCCTTCAATATGATTCGCTCCTTTGCCAGAATTTCTTGTTCTGTGCAAGCTGCGTCTGTCACGTATGCAAACTCTGATATCTTTGGTGGGTATATTTCTTCAAACTGCAGCAAAAGGAGTTTTATTAATAAACATTTAGAACTATTTTTTTAACTGATGAAGAAATTCTAAATTACCTTAGCAGCAATAAACAGACAAGTAACGCCGACAAGCTGCAGCTGATTCTTGGGTAAATTACTTTGACGAGATAGATACCTATCAATAAAGTCCATGGCTCTGTAATAAGTTTCTCTGTGTAGTTTGTAAACTTCGCAGACCTCGATGAGCCAATCCAGCAGAATCGCCCTCATCCTTGGCTGTAACGTCGGATGCTTACTAAAACATTGTGAGTCCCTGTTAAGCAACGTCTCTTGATCTTTCTGTAACATAAGCTGCCAAAGTTCGTCTGGATCAGCCCAATCCAAGTTTGGTAGTGGACACCTTTTGTTTTCATTATGAGTCGAGGGTGTTAAGAAACATGTGGCTGTTCGCATTTCCGACCATATTGCTGGTTCAAAGTCCAGAGGTGGAATCGAGGGCTTTGGAGTATATGGTACACTGGTGGGACTTGCCAAGTCACAATTGGTTGTGATTGTGGTTGTGTTAACAGAGGTAATGTTATCTGAGTCATTGGAGGTGACTACCTGTACTTTATTAGGAGGGTGATTCTGCAAATCATCTGTCTTCTCACTGCTAGCTTTTCTCTTACGTCTTAGAGTGACTGTTTTATTGTTTTGTACTTGGAGCTTGGTTTGCCTACCTCTGCCTTTTCTGCTGGAACAAGCAATTAACAAAACGTCAAATATTTAAATTCTTTAATTTATTTTATTTTACAATAAATTTTTAATCTTATTAACAACCGAGAAATTTTTGACATTTTCAAGTGAATAACATTTTCTTTTGTTTTTTAAGTTTTTTAGTGAAAATGATTTAGAGTTTTAAATCAGAGGTATTGGTAATTAGTTTTATGGTAATTAAATCAGTTGAATGATTATTTAAAACGTGGGATTGATTTAAACTGATATTTTATCAGTATTTTTTCAAACCTCAATGCAAATGAGAATATTCCAACATTGCCCAAGTTCATAAAAAATTTAATTAATAATTTAAAATAATGTTATGGTCATTAGCCAGTTCATTAACTATAAAAGAATTTGAAAAATGACATTTGTTTAATTATTTAATTTTATGGAATGAAATTGATTCACTTTTCAAGCTATACTTTTGGAATGTGTATTATTCAGTTAAATTTGACCTTTAACGCTTAGGTAAAATTATTGATTAACAAATTGTTGTATGTATAAACAAGATTTTTTACCCAAATGTAACTTCAAACTTTTATAGATTTACCAGACTTACTTTCACAGATTAATTTCATTGTTAACAGATACATGGAATTTCTAACCCTCGGACTGTGAAAAACTCATCACACTTGTGCCATATAATTCGGATATGTGGTTTAAAAAATTATATAATTCTTCATAAATACAGTCCTAAGATTATATTGAAACAGATTATAAAATAAATTCATAAGTTTTCAACAAAATAACTTTAATATGATCAATAGTTATGAGATAGTACACCTCATGGGACCATGTGTTTAATTATCATGATAAGTTGTAGAAAAATTAATCAATGGCAACAAAAATTAACAATAGCATGCCTAAAGTTTTTAAAATTAATATAGTTGAAAAAAATTGCAAAAATGTTTTCTGAAAGCTGTGAAAATCACAGTTAAAAAACTCTTACCTCAAAGCTGCGATGGTCTAGAAAGAAATATGACCTAAGGAAATTATATTTACAATAAACCTAAATTGTTTAAATTTTGCATACAATGAGGACAGAACACGGACAACCAAATATTAAAAAATCAGGTACTTTCATGCATACCAAAAAAATTTAGACCATCACGAACAACACCTATAGCATACTGCCACATGTGCTCTTCAGCGAACTCCAAGCTGGAGTCACAATATACGGCCAAAGCCCAGTCCGATCTTGATAAAATTTTACGCACAGCTACTCCAACAAATAATCTATCCAACAGATGCAAAAATACTCAGCTGCTGGGCGTACAACCCGAGAAACACGGGAAAAACTTTGCCAACACTGCAGCCATGCCACAACCTCACCTTCCTCTACTGTACGAGATCTCAAAATCCCGTGATTCTTCGGAACCTCTCAAAACCATTTTTAATCGTCTCAAAATCATCCTAAGTTTCCTTGCAAGTAATAAAAACTCGAAAAAACTCAAAAAATTCACAAAAAAAAATAAAAATAACTAATCGACACAACTCACCTGGGTTTAGGCATCTTAAAGCTCTGCTCTTCACCTCGGATTAGTTTCCCGGCTATCCTCGCTGCTCCAAATCAATCTCAAAAGGCCTCCAGATCACCAGGAAGCTCGTCTACTGGAAGACTTGGTCGGATGGCTATTCTCTTGTCGAGAGATTACGGGCCAACTTCTTGGAGCGCGGTTTAACGTAGAGCACGTAGGAAAAGAGTGCCAGCCAGCATAGTAAAGAGAGTATATATATATGTGCTTACGAGTAGTTTAGCGGCAACTTCTCGCGCGCTATGCTTTGCTCTTTCTCTCTTTACTCTCGTGCCCTCTCTTTCTCCTTAGATATTTTGTTCTTTTCTATTTATTTCCCGCGTTAAACTCCAACTCTCGTCTTCATCCAGGCCCCAATAACCGGGTGATCCTCGGAGCCTCGTGGATGGCTTTGGCACGCGTCCAAGGTCTTTCGGGCGCGTCCCAGCAAGGCCCTACAGATTCAAGTGCAGGGCGCGCGAGCAGTAGTACAGCAACAGCGGTACCAGACAGCAGGGCCCAAGCTATCTTGCGCGCGGGAGTTAAGCGCGCGAAAGCTACCCTCCTCCAATTCTCGCGCGCACTACTGCGTGCACATACGTGTCGTCGTCCGCCGGAGGGGGGAGGGGGGGGCCAAGCGCCCTCTATATTTCCCGCATAACCTCTGGGCCCACCCCGAACGAAAAACTCGATTTTCCCCGCGCACTTTTCTTGTGGGACCAACACACAGCCTGCTGCACACCCGATGTTTCCCTCTCAGCTTTTGCACTTTGTTGCAATTTTGTTTACCTTCATGAACACAAGAGCCAACGTGTCTGTAAACAAAATGCCAGCTCGAACGACGCCTCGGCGTTAAGGACGGAAAATCAGCTTTTTATCACTGAAAACTTGTACGCATAGGCACTTGCACCCTTTTCACATCCTCGGCGCGTCTTTGAGGGGAAAAACAGCAACAAAAATCACTTATTTCGATCCCTCGGTAACGCACACACAGCAACAACCCCGGCGAGCTCGCGCGCTCTCCTGCAGCTGCTGCACTTTAGGGAAAAGGAAATTGCACTTATATGATATTTTTTTGGTGATCCGTTAATTAAACTCCATACGACTCGACTCACTGGCGTCCTTGGCCAAAGTGAGCGCACAAACACACACCGCGTCGCAGAAAATTCGCGCGTTCACGTTTGTTTCTCGCCGGGGATCATGAAATTCATGAATACACTCGCGCATCGGCGGTACAACAAGACACTTTTTATGTATCGTAAGCTGCAAACGAGACGATCGTGTGTAAGCGACGCATACTTACATAGGGGGAGAGAATGAGAAAGAGAGAGGTGAGCGAACGAGCAAGAGAGGAGGAGGCGAGGAGGTATAAGTAAGTATAGGTAATTTGGCCGGCAACACAGCTGGCCCGCTCGGGTCCCTCTCAGCTGATTTCAATGTTGGTGTAACACGCAACAGATGGGCGTAGCTATATAGTTATACACGTATATAAACGTGTGTGACGCGCGGGTACAAAAGAGTGGATGGGGGGAACGCGGCGGGAACGTTGTGTATAGAACGCTCTTTAAAAGGTTTTTCAGCGGGAGTTGAGTCGAGAGAGTAGAGCGCGCGCGCGTCCCTTGTACGAACGGCTTCTCTTTCTATATGGGGGGGGGGGGGGCTGAGGCCGCGTTTTCTTTTGCTATACGTATGGGGGTTGATGCGCTACATGTGTAGAGCGGGAAGGGGAGGGATACGCAACGCGTCGCCTGCGACCCTTTTACCTTCTCGCTTTTTTTTTTTTTTTGTTTATAGGTGATCTTTTAGGTGATGTACTTATGTATTGCATGGGTGCTGTGGAGATGTAGACTTTTTTTTTCGAGGCAAAACGCGAGGAGAGTCAGTGGGGAATCGCTGCACATAGACAGGTTTTGGGTGCGTCGTGCATGTGTGTGCCCCATGCCCCCTTGCCACGTCGTACGAGCGGGAAAAACACTGTTGATGCGTTCTCCATCTTTGCGGGTCTATAATATATTTGTTAATGTAAATTTTTTAAGCTAGGTGGTATACGTAGCGCAGAGGGGGGTGGTAACTCCATTTGAACACTTGACGGGGGTGGTAGCTCTAGTAAGTAGAATAAAGAAAGTTTGTTTGATTCATTCGTGCAAACATACTTATTTAGTAAATAAATTATTTTCATGTATAAATGGGGGGGGGGGGTTAAAAATAAACCATAAACCTTCGAAACATGTATAGTGTTTATGTTCGAACTGTCCAAAAAGAATTCACAGTTAGGTTTTTCTTCCGAAATAAAATCGTTTATGTATTTTATGTCTTTCGCGCCTTCTGTTGAGTTGAAGTTCTTTAATTTTCATTCGAAATTTTTGCTTGAACGCATTCTTCATCAAAGGTAGATTATCTTTGGATAAATTGCTCGTTGCTTCGTTTATTATAATAGAAAAAAATATTTTTTTTAGTACTTACTACGAGGTTCAGTTCTGAGACGGTTCGATCGGTCGAATCTTCCGTAGCGCTTTAAACGAATCGATATATTGATGTAAAATCATGTCAATTCTACTTGAAGGTTCTTAATGATAAACTTTAAAAATATTTCATTGAAAATTGATTCTTTGAAAAAATTAAATTGAAACAGATACACAAATAAAAAATAAAAAAAATTGACAAAGAAGCGACAATTTCCCTCTCAACTGACATAGTCAACAATACAATCTGCAGAATTAAACGTTTAAATGAAGTTTTCAAGTGTGGGAGCGGAGATTACTTCAATTTCGAACAAACCGAAATATACGATTTTTCAAATTTCGGGTGTTCCAATCAGTGGAATAATAATTTTTCAAACGGCGTTCTTTTCTCGCGCTAACGCTGTACAAACGTCTGGCAGGAAACGCTGTTTTCGCGCGCGCTACACGTAAAAGATATGGGAGAGATAGGAAGGTATGCCGCTCGTTTTCTGGATGTATATACGTATACTTGATTTAGATGCGGACAAGTGGCACTTGTCCATGAAATGAGGCGGATTTTTCATTTTAAAATCGTTTATGCAAAAAAAAAAAAAATCGCACAACGGCCTCCACGCATTAACAACTCGTACATTTGAAAAAAGGTTCATTTGTCTTGTTCATTTCACGCGTCATATAAATATTTTTTATAATCTGACGATAAAAACGAATTCTGAAGAAATTTGCAATCTCCAATATATAATTACGCGCTTTTTGTAAATTTGACTGATTATCCATCACCATTGGACTCCGTTTTTTGAAAAACTGCTAGAGTCGATTTTTAATGAATTTTCTAATTTCACATGTATCGTTCGAGGGAAGAACAATGTCAGTAATTTTATCAAAATTTTCCCACGTAACCAACAATTATTCGCCAACTTTCCTTCATTGTATTCCATGTAATTGTATCAGTTCTCATAATCCATATTTTTCGAAAGAGAGGCGAAATGTAACAACACTTGCATAAATTGAAACATATCTTCGAGTCGTGGTAATAAGTCGTCGACACATATTTAAGGTATAGAATTTTGTTCAACAAATAATCAACATTATTAAATGAAAAAATCCGCCCTACCGGTGGACAAGAAACTTGTCCACTTTTTACAGAGGCGCATTGCGAGACTCAGGCCAAACTAAGCGCGCACGAAATATTTCCCGCCAACTGTCCCTCTATATACGTCCTAATGACTGCGAGTGGATTACAGGGTAAAATTACGTTACTTACGGGAGATAAATCATTTTATAAAACCTTATCTTTACATGAAGATCTCGATGAGTAACAATGAAAATTGTAATTTTCATCGACTTTTTTTACATAACAATCAAGTACTTTATAAATAATAATAATAATAATAATAATAATATAATAAGAGTCACTAAACAAATTCTTTTGTACAAAAATAGTTAGTTGTATATGTGTTACACAAAACATATGTACAAGGAACTGATAAATAAAAAACAAAGCGTGTGTTATCTCAGTAATTTTTCGATGTTACTATTCTGTTTAAAAATATAAAGTGATTACCAACAGTAAATCAGTTTCAATAACCAAGTCTCGTATTATTATTTTTAATACAGTTAAGCTCAAATATGTCCTAAGTAATTATATTTTTAAACAATTGTGACGGTAATAAAATATATTTTATTATATTATATTTATATAATATACAAAGCTGTGTATATAATAATATAGTATATGTACACGTGTAAGTATTTTAATGATAGTCGTTATAAAAACATTGTAAAGTAATCTTTCTTTGTTTTTTTTTGTATTTATATCAAGTTTCGACAGACTTGGATAAAGAAAATTCACTCGTTATCTAAACTATTGGTAATAAATATACATCGTTAATGTAAATTAGTTCAAAAACTGCCGAAACTAAAACCTACTCGACTGATAAATGACTTTTATGTTCTCGATATACCAATAATATTAATTATTCGTTGTATCAGCGATGGAATTTTTAGACGTGCAAAGCGATAAGTCACGTAAATTGGTTTCACTCTACGTGCGTAGCTATAATGCGTGATTTTTCAAAAATTTCAACGTATACTTTGAGTCTTAACGGGCGTTTAAGACACCCCCTGAAAAGCGATTCTTCACGAAACCCTGTACACACAGCAAGCATCAGGAGTAGGTACTACGAAGGGTGTAAAAAAAGTATAATACCGTGTACCCGTGCACCCATCGATCTGTACATGTTCCATTGTGAACAATAGAAGGGGATCAGAGTAAGAAAGCTGCATATATATGTATGTACCTACGTGGCACCTGAAAATTCGTTGGGACCTTTAAATCGCTGAAAAGAAAGACACACATACGTGTATATATACCTGTCGTGCGAGTTTCCGAAGACAAAGAATTTTTTTCTCTCTCGCATTGCACGCCATAATACACGCTCTTGGGTTTAAAGTGGATACGAGAATATACAAGTATCATATGGCAACATCTGCGAAATACCTACTTACTTGCAAGAACTTGCTCTCGAGTCTGTGCGGCAGTTGTGGTCCTCGAATTCACTGACTCTCGGCCACGTGTTGCGTGTGCACAAATGCTTATTCGTCATATTTTGAGTTTTTGCAAATAATTTAAACTCTACGTACACGTGTGCGGCCGTGAAATTTACCTGCGAATAAAGTAACGTTACCAGCTCTTTAAATTGGTACGGTTGTCAATGCCACACAGGGAATATACACCTACAAGGCAACATTTACCTTTCATCCTGCTTTTACCTGCAAGTGGTATTATTTACAACTTATAATTTTACTAAATTCTTACTCATTCATGGATGATTTTAATGTTGCAATAACCGAGATTTTGGCTGTTTTTTTTTTTTTTTTGTATATACAACTGTTTATATGAGTGTGTATACCTCACACGATGTCAATACACTTTAATATAAAAAAAAAAAAAAAAAAAAAAAACTGTATGAATCACATGGTCTTATTCGAGACAATTATTTCAGATGCCTATATGTATGTACGTAAGATTGTAGGACGTATTATGACGTATAAAAAATAGCGAAAAATTACTTTAACTTCAATCAATCACAAAAAAATAGATGGAATCGATTGAGCATGATATTTTTGAGAGAGTCTCTAATCTCGTGCGAAGCTCTGCCAGTGCAACGGAAAGTAAAATAGAAATTTTATTGCTTCCAAGATAACTGAAACTCTGGGCAATTACAAGTTGGGTATACATTCGACTCTCTTAACTTCGAGCATTGTGCTCTGTACACCTGTTCCTCGGACGTTGGTGTATGTTTGAGGATAAGTATAAATTGTAAATGAAATTTTTCCCACTTTTTCGAGTGGTTGAACTACTTTTATTGCACAGAATAGTTGGAGCTCTCGAGTTACCATTAATTTTTTTTTTTTTTTTTTTTTTGCCACAGAGGTCGATTAAATCATAGAACACTGATTTCAAAAAAGTTCACGCAAATCAGTGTATTTTTTTAGTATAATATATATCATCACTCTTTTTTTTTAAATAAAAGCATTTTTTCAAAGACCGTTACTTTGTCCCACAGTGGAGTATACTTCCAAAATACTCAATTTTTCAAGCCTTTTTTTTTTTTTTACCACGTTTCAATTAGATCAAGAGATAGAGAAGTCGATCGTCATTCGACTTTGACTTCTCGCCTGCCTTGGCGTTTTTCTCGGCGGAGCCGCGCTACTTTGCGAACACTGTTGACGCAGCTTTCCGCGCAATGGCTGTACTTATACTTACCGTGAGATTGCAATCGCTTTTTTGATGATGCAAATCACGACGTAAATATTCAAGTCTCGTCGGATGTATTTATATTTACGTTGAAAGAAGTTTTTTTTTTTTTTTTTTTTTTTTTTATTGGTTAATGAAGCTCATATAGGTCAACCCTCGTTTTCTTGGTGGATGTGTGTGCTCCTTGGATCCTGCAGCCATAGAGTCAAATTGCTTTCCGAAATCAATGAAAGACTCAAATTGGTTCTCGGACTGTTATTGTGTTAAATTTGTAGGCTCGTAAAATAATCATTGTAATTTAATATTTTTAATAGTGAATAAAACAAAAGAAACTCAATAAAATTTTGATTCTTTTCTATGTACGTTCGGATGTGCACGTTCTGATCGAAAAAGTACTCTACTACATTTTATAAATTTGAAGCGATGTTCCAAAATAGGGTTCAAGGCAAACATTATGTCAGCCCGAGGTTTTTTCGTCCCATTTGTTTGGTTATTTCGCTAGAAAAATTAATAGTAAGGTGCGGATTACCCGTTTCATATGTAAAAACGTGCTTTTTTTGAAGGGAGGGAGGAGAAACCAAAGTCCCCGAGGTTCTATTAATTGTCAGATGAATTTATTCAGGCAATGTTAAACATGATGATGTATATTACGTAAGCGGAGAAGTAAAGAAAGGCAATTATTAAACTTTTGTTTTTATTGTCTTTTATTCGATAAATACAGATTACAACTACGTACATGAATATCAACCAGTAAAAATTGGAAGAAATTGAAAAAAAAACATCAACGAGTATAAAGTGAAAGAAATGTAAAAAAAAAAAAAAAAAATTATGATCGGTGTAAAATAGTTATTTACGTAACAAGTGCGGAAAAGACGATTTCCCGCACGAGTAGTGATTGACTCACACGAGTGGCCGGAGTTGACGGGAACAAATACACGAGTGTGATTGCAAGGTACGAGTTACCGTCACCGGCCACGAGTGCGAGTCTATCACACGAGTGCGGGAAATCGTCCCGCACGAGTTGCGTACAAGTTTTTTCGCAATGTGTGAGGAAAATAGGTACAAAATAGGTTTGAATTTTGATTTCCAGTGTGTAGCAAAATTTTTTCCGGTGTGTGGCAAAACCATTTCCGTACACTGTGTGGGAAAATCGATTTTCCACACTAATACCAGTGCGGAAAACACCCATTTTCCGCAGGCTATTGCGAAAAAAAATAGTCATATAAACTTTATAAAAGTATGGGTATACATATTTTATGATTTAAAATGTCACACATTTATAATTAGACTCTATTAGACTCTTAACCTAGTATATAGTATATAGGTATATCAGTATTGTATTAAAAATCGGTGAATCAAAAAAACACGAGACAAAACTTGGAAAAAAAATTATGCGTGTATACTTAAAAAAAAAAACCTCCACTGCGTGTCCAGATCAGCCTCGAGCCACGTCTTTGTCGAGGAAGGTGCCGTCGCCTTTTTTCCGCATGGTCATCCTGACCAAATCGTCCGAGGGCTTCTTGAGATCGTACGCCCAGCCGATCCAGCTGAACATCGTTATCAGATTACCGACGACGTCGAAACGCGGACCGCCGATCTCCGGGGTCCGGTAGTCCCACGGGAAAACGTGATGGTAGTTGTGCCAGCCCTCGCCAAACGACACGTAAGAGGCCCACCGATTTTCCACCGGGGCGATACTCCTGCTCGTACGGTGGCATTCATCAATCGATCGTTATAAGTACATATCCGTATGTCGAACGAAGCAAAAGCAAGGAAATAATCGGTAACGTACTTGTCGTAGGGCCTGTAGCCGTAAGTGTGCGCGACGCTGTTTATGGAGAACATGGCGTTGAGCGTGTACGCGTAGCGGATCGTCTGCGACAGGAGCCCGTGGTACCAGTCCTCGCCCCAACAGTAAACCGGTATCAACACGGAAAACACCTGGACGAGGACGCACAGTACGAAGAAGTGCCTGTAAACATCGCAAAAGCAAAAAAATGAAATTATGAACCTCGTGTGCAGGAAACACGGTGTTAATTCAATAAGTCAATGAGTCGTAAATATATATATATATACTTGTCGGCGAATCGGATGACGGGATCGGCTTGCATGTCGCTGAGATCGATCTCCCTCTGCTTCTTGCTGGCCTCGGGAGTCTTGTCGACCATCAGCCAGCCGATGTGCGAGAAGAAAAAGCCGCGCTTGGCGTTGTGCGGGTCGGCCTCCGTGTCCATGTAGCGGTGGTGCAAGCGGTGGTGCAGCACCCACTTTTTGAACGACACCTGTACGGCGACCGAGAAAATGGGATTTGTTTGAAAAAAAAAAAAAAAAAAAAAAAGGACATGAATTTTGTACTTACCTGAGCCGCGGAGAGGTAGCAGAATGCTAGGACGATTCTTAAGGATATTTTTGCCTTGTAGGACTTGTGGCACCAGTAGCGGTGAACTCCTCCGTTGATGCCGAACATCGTGTACATGGCGACAAAGTACGCTGCGAGGGAAAATTTCTTATTTTTCGGGGGGGAAAAAAAAGGAAATGGCACACATGTATGTGTCTTACCCCAGAGTATCGTTTTGAACTTTTGTATGTAGGGGAAGGTGAGCACCCCGTAAAGAGCTACCACGTGAATGATGGCGAGTACGATGGTGGTCTGCCACCTTATGTCGTCCCTTAGAAATATCCATCGCGAGCTTCTCTTTTTCATGGCTCCTGATGGTGCTGGGCTGCTCTTTGGCGAGTCGGTCTCCCCTTTCGTCTCCACTGACGTGTCCCCAGAATTTGGATGCATCGCTTTTGTATCAAATTTAAGTCAGATTAGTTTATTTTTATTTATTGGGTTTATTTCCTTGTTACGAAGTTGATTCGTGAATTATGTATACTTGTTACTCTCATTGTTCTAAGCAAGGGTATGAGGATGGATCGTGTGGAATTCTCCGCGCCATTGAAGTTAAAAAAAAAAAAAAAAAAAAAATGATGCTTGCTTAATTTACACGCAAAATTACCGCTGAAAATCATTAAAATAATGCTCAAGTTGTTTCTGTACTTGTACGTATTTCATTACTCCTTAGCCTTTCGAATGGCAGTTTGTGTGCGTCACCTGCAGGTTGCAGTGACATACAATATTAGGTTTATTTATACATCTAAAATGAAGTTAAATCCTTACTTTAAATTTATTTCAATAAAAAAATCGATTTCGATTGTGTTACACATATCAATTAAACTATAATTGAATTAAGAATTAATTTAACTATTTAGGAATCCTGGCCAAATATAAATACGCACCCTTGTTGACGAAAACCAACAATAATCGAGAACTCGCAATTTTTTTTTAGCATTTTTTGTATAGATTTGGACCAATTTAATCTCTGTACGAAAATAGGTAAGCCTAGACACAAATTTTTTAAAATTTTTGTTTTGATACCCATATACTGCTTTGTTTAATTTTCACGGACATTTTTACCACCCATTTTACCACCAATGGAGGCGTTGATAACAACCTCATTGGTATAAAACCCGTTATATCCTAATCCTTTGTCCCTTTTTCTAATGTCCCGTAAAATTTAATCCAAAAATCCATTGACCCCGATTCCTTTTTCTCCAACTATTCCTTATTGTTTTTTTTTATACCCGAATACCACTCGTTTCGCTCGTGCTTCCTCCGTGATTTCTACTTCTCTAACATATTATCTATCTCTCGCTTATTTTTCTTTCTTCTTTCTATCTTATACTTAAAGTCAGATAAAGAATAGTGTATACTCGCCCGCGTCATTTATGTGTACGTATTGGTATACCATGTACTGACCATGACTCTGTCAATTGACGGGCTTTTCTAACTTTGTAACAACTACTGTCTGATAATAAAATTTAAATAATAAACAAAAATGGCTTACGTATAAAAGACTACACGCTTTTGTGCACGTCAGTCACGATTCCACACGCACTGTAACAATAGACAGAATAACGATGAGGAGATATCAAATGTTATTTCTATCACTCGTTCCGTATACACATTGTGCTCAACACTTTTTCAAAATAAATTATGACTGAAGCACGTGAGTGTGGGTGTGAACGTTTTTATTTATACATAAATGATGTCTTAAAACTGTTTTTACACGTGCTTTTTTCTAATGTAATCCTTTGCTTATTTTTAATTTACATGTTCATCACCATTAAACGAAAAGAATTTTCATTTCCCCAATTTATTTCTTATGATTTTATAAATTGTAAAAAAATTATTTGAAAAGTGATATTCAATTTGTTGAATTTTTGGAATGTTATAAATGAATGAAAATGGCCATTTTTACATTTTTTCGAATTTTATGGATATAGTTAATATCTCGGCAAGTAGTATTAACTTTAGAGAAAAGTCGCGAGAGATTATTTTTTGCGTAAAGTCCAAATTTTGCACTAAGTTTTAGACCTGAAACCATTCACGTTTATTTTGAAGGGACCATTTTGTATAAGACTTACCGTCCGTTAAATTAACGAATCAAATTGTAAATTAAATCGTGGTTTACCGATTAAGTGAAGAGCACTTACGATTTCTTACTTGTGCTCTTGACTCAAAATATAGCATAATAATTCTTGATTTACACAAGTCAACTTTCTTGAGTCCGTACAAAGCGTTTTTAACAAACACTATACGTTACCGCCCATACACACTTTGGGCGTTTTCTTTCTAATATAACAATGTCTCCAAGGATAAAAGGAGTGCGTCGCGAGTAAGTATTGGTAATTCTACCGTGAAATAAGTATTATTAACTTTGCTGTACAATACCCGAGGTCTGCTTGTGCGATTTCCTGTAGAAGTGTCGAGTCCAGTGAGCGATGCTTGCAGCGGACCTTCTTTCTACGCCGTAAGTAAGGGCCAAGCGAGCAAACGCGTCGGGCGATCGCCGTGTGGGAGACCTCGGGTAGCTTTTTGCGGGCTGTTACAGGGGAAAAATCCAGAGCCCCGGAAAACGTTTAAAAAAGGCAAGAGCGGCTAGGAGGGGAAAACGGAGCCCGTTGTTTTGGCGATTGTCGATCGACCATTGGGGGGTATCCGGTGGGGCCATACGCGCGTGACGTATCAGCGGCTCTGCCGCCCCTGCCCGTGCGTGGCTCGACTCTTGCCTTGATTTCATTGGAGGCGGGTTAACATCTCAGGATTTCTCTCAACCGATTTTCATCCAACAAGGCTCGTTTACTTTGTATTCAGATATGTACCCAACATAGCTATTTTGGAAAATTCTGCAATCAAAAATACCAAGATGAGGAAAAGATATAAGAGGGAGAAATTAATTGGCACTGGTTTTTTTTTTTTTTTTTTTTCAATCTCATAATTTCGTTCGATTCGTTACCACGTTTGCGTGAATGTGAATTATAAAAAAAAAAAAATAATAATAATAAATTTTACTAATATATTTCCTACTAGAATATATTTGCTGAAATCTTTCTAATTCTATCTTCATCTTTGAACCAAAGATTTTTACAATTGACTTGAATCTTAAATTAAATATCTCGATTTACCCTTGTCACAAGTATCCTGTAAGCGTTAACTCGAATGTATTGAAAATTCATAAGTTATCAGAACTGTAATAAAATCAAAAACTTTTTCTTGAGTGGCCCATATCGTACGTTTTATGTATCTATTGCCCAAAATTTTGTTGAAATCAAAGCCAATTGGAATTTCATTTCATCTTCATAATACGCAAATCTTTTTGTTAAGCATCTATAATAGTCTCGAGAAAAAAAAAAATACGATCAACAACAGTTTCACATTTACACTGTCTCTTTTATTCAGCCGCTGACGCGTATTATATCCGTATATATCTGCGAGACGAGATGGTGTCTACGGTTATTATGTTGCTTTCAGCCCTAACATATAGCTGTAGCATATATACACTTACAGTGCACAATTTATTACCATTGTTGCCAAGATGCTGCAGATAAAGATTAAGTAAAACTGGTTGAATTTACATCGAAAAACATTGAAAAATGAGAAATTTAGTACAATCAAAAATTTCAGTGCGCAGTAATTGGGTCATTTACCCCTATAGGCATAATGTGCATATAAAACAACTATACTCCACTGGTCGCGGATCTGTTTTCCCCCACCACTAGGTCCCCTCGGCCCTCAGAGAGAGAGAGAGAGAAATTGCTCGGGCCCCTTCCTTGTCCTCTTCCCTCTCAATAACGTGCGTACATCTTACATCTATATATACCACGCGAGGGGCCTTACAGTCCTTACATACAGAGCCACTGCGCGCTCTCTCTCTCTTTATCTCTGATGCTGTAGTTGTTGACCCGACCGACGGCAGCGATACACGGGATAGTGTATATTTCGCGAGCTGCGTGAGCTTCGATAATTACCTTGTAGTTTTGTTTCGCGATACCTACTAAGTATATTTTTCCCCTCTGATTGTTTTGTTTGATGGCACCTCAGCGAAGGGACTACTTTGTGCGAGGGGGACCCAAAACGGTGAATTGATCGAGTCCTTCGCAAGTGTACTGCAGACATAGACGCCCTCCTTTCCCAGCGCTCTCTTGCCTCTTCTTATTTTTTTATTTATTTTTTTTTTTCTTCTTCCCACGATAAGGCCCATATCCTGGAATTTGTGAGTAAGAGGAAGGTAAATTTTTGCTCAATTATGTATTTCTCTTGGGGTTTCCTCTTCTTTTTTTTTCAACTATATACTACAGACTGGTGTGAAGGTTTAACTCTTTTTTTTCCCCTCTCAGGTGCAAAAACCGCGGAGCTGCGTGTGGTGGGAGAGGCTCGGTGTGGGCCCTGGTTTGTTGATGTCGTACTTCTCAAAGCCCTTGGGTCGCAGGTGCGCTGTCTTAAAGGTAGTATACTTATGATATGTGTGTCCATTTGATGTAGGTATAAATTTCAAGTAGTACAATACGTGGATTCATGATAAAACCCACTGGGGCGAGGGGGCTTTTTCTTTCTCGTACGGTTATGCCTCAATGCACAAGGGTAAAAAAGTACAATTCCCTTAAATTTTTGCATACAAGTATTATTTTTGGTACGATTGTAGCACAGATAGTTTGGTGCTAATCTGAAGTACACTTATACCTACAGTTATAATTATCTGTCCTTCCGGACCATAAGGTGATGGACTATAACTGGAAGGACAGATATAACTGTAGGTAAGCGTACAATATCGGCGCGGGTTCAAGCTTGGGTGTATAGGCTGACACCCAGAGTTAGGCTCCTCGGGTAAAGGGGCTAATTAGGAAGAGTTGGTTGGTTCTTTTTTTTCCAGCCGCATTGAAGTATTGACAAGGTATAAGTAACCAGATCAGCTCGTCAGCCATGCAGAATGTTAAATCAAACAAGTCCCGACTGGACGACATGGTCGGTGCCGGGGGTCTGGTCGACGCGAGAGCCAAACAAGTCCTGAAAGAAGCCGTCGACGCCGTCGTCAACAGCTACACGAAGCACTCCCAAGGTTACAGGAAAGGTATACGAGCCCTTCGACATTTTACAAAAATACCCCAATGACGCGTGGTCGTCGTCGTTGATTTCCAGTCGACGTGGTCGAAGCACTGCAAGACTTTTGGCAAATGAAGCAGAGCCGGGGCACGGAGCTGCGTAACGGCGCCCTGGTGATTTACGAGTCGGTGCCGGGCTCGAGTCCGCCTTACGTCTGCTACGTCACTTTGCCGGGCGGCTCGTGCTTCGGCAGCTTCCAAAACTGCCCGACCAAAGCCGAGGCGCGCAGGTCCGCCGCGAAGATCGCCCTCATGAACTCCGTCTTCAACGAGCACCCGTCGCGGAAGATCACCGATGATTTCATCGAGAAGGCCGTGGCTGAAGCCAGGGCCAGCTTTTCCAACCCTAGCAGCGGTAACGGGGCTCCGTCCGAGGTATGTATCTTTTTCCTTGGCAAGGCTTGCAGGAGACTCTCGAGGTACTTTCGACGAGCAAACCTATTTTCGTCCACCTACTACGCAGTCTGATCCAGTTTTGTTATCGGCAATGTATGATGTATATGTCAACACAAACATGGGGAATCGCAAATGTCGTTTATGTTGTTGTTCATGAGCTTGAGTGTATGAAGATAGGTTTGTTCGTCATTTTTCACGTTTGATGCGTCGAGTACACTCGTTGGGCTTTGGTAGCTCAACAAAGTCTGTAGATCGTGTGTGTTTTTTCCACCTGGACCTATTGTTCCAAAATTTCAATGAAATGTTTACTGGTTACATGGATCGGGTACACTGTTGTTTCAACAACCTACGTCAAATTTATCTGTACGTTTTTGAAACGAAGGGATCCAGGTAACAAATGGTAATTTTCAAACACGCCTTCCAAAACTGTGCGCAATTAAATCACGCGTTGTTACTGTCAGTAGAACACCTCCTGAATCAGTATAGTTGACAGCATGGTAAAAAAAAAACTTTATTCAATACATGCTAAAGGAACGATTTAAGGACGAAAACTAAAAAAGATTTACTTCGGGAGAATAGCAGGCGTACAGCTCAATTTAAACGTAAATGTTGAGATTGTGCGCGTTAGTATACTCCGGAAATCCACTGATGTATTTCAGAGCGAAGGTGACGACAACGAGGACCCAAACACCGGAATCGGAGCCTTCCGGTTCATGCTCGAGTCCAGTAAAGGCCGGACAATGCTGGAATTCCAAGAGCTGATGACGGTCTTTCAGCTCCTGCACTGGAACGGCTCCCTGAAGGCGATGCGCGAGCGCCAGTGCAGCAGACAGGAGGTAGTGGCCCACTACAGCAACCGCGCTCCCGACGACGACATGCGCAGCCAGATGGCCCTCGACTGGGTCGCCCGGGAACACGAGAGCGGCGGTGGGGTCGTGGCCATGGAGCTAGATCTCGCCGACAGGGAGCTGGAGACTGCCAGACTGGCCGGTCGGGAGCTGCGCTTTCCCAAGGAGAAGAAGGACATTCTTTTGCTCGCCCACGCGCAGATCTGCCCGCAGTGAGGAAGCGTTGTGGTTTTTTACATTTTACTTTTTTTCCTCTACTTGTGGAGAATTCGGTCTGTTCAGCGAGACTCGGGTTTTTTTCTTTCTATTTTCTAAATTAGTTTTTGTAAACGTGATTGTTTTGAGGAAATCGAAAAATTAGTGATATTTTAAAAAGATCTCCGGTGATCCAAAGTGCTTTCAAACTATTTTTTGCTACATTGGCATTGTACATAATTTTGTTTGTACTTGATGTTAAGAGTTGTTTCTTGTAAGTAAAATTTATCGTTTGAAATTTAAAAAGTTTTCGTGGTGTACTTATTTCATAAAAATTTCAAAAAAAACAGTACTTGCTATGTTGGTGCAATAGAGGACTCGAAAAATTGTGATGTGCATTTTTTTTAAAGATAATACCATCATTTGCATTGCCCTCGAAAATGTTTTTCATTCGTTTCATAGATTGTTACACTCTAAGAAATAAACTAAGTAAGGTATAAGAATCAATATTTCTCGACTGCAATTGATAACGTAATTTTATAAAACAATACGTTAATAACATATATTATCATTATTAAATAAATAACAATAAAAACATTTCATAACAAACTATTGTACATTTTTATTTTAAAACATCTCACCCGCCAAAAATTTTTCCAATCATTCAACATTCACTGCCTTGAACTCATACCGTAGTACTCGTCGTTATTTTGTCCGAGCCTACAGGCGGCGGTTCTTCACGTTCCTGCAGAGGATGCTCTAAAACTTTGTCTATCAAACCAAATTCTTTGGCTTCGATTGGCGACATAAACTTATCTCTTTCCATGTTAGTTTCTAAAACAATACAAAAACGCGTTTCAAAACAGAAATATCAAAACAAAAACTATTTCTCACACTCAATAACTCTTACCTATTTCTTGAATATCCGTTCCAGTGTGTTTAGCATAAAGTTTGTTTATCTGACTCTTGAGTTTGAGAATCTCTTCCGCCTGTATCCTAATATCTGTGGCTTGGCCCTGAACACCCCCGGACGGCTGATGGATCATTATCCTGGCGTTTGGCAATGCGTGTCGCATGCCAGGCTCACCAGCTGCTAGTAATAAGCTAGCCATCGAACATGCCTGTCCAACGCACCAGGTTGCCACCGGTGGGAGCACATACTGCATCGTATCGTAAATACCAAGGCCAGCTGTCACTACACCACCTGGGGAGTTTATGTACAAGTGTATTGGCTTTTTACTACTCTCTGACTGAAGGAACAGCAACTGGGCAACCACAAGGGACGATATGTCATCCGTTACCTGTAAATAAACAAGTAGTACAGCACAGTGATTTTGATGAAATTCTGAACAACTTACTGGGCCCATCAAACAGATAATCCTTTCTTTGAGCAATCTTGAATAGATGTCGTAAGCTCTTTCACCTCTGCCAGTTTGCTCTACAACAATGGGAATCAAATTCAGAGATCTGCTGCTTACTTTCACAAGAGAATTCTAAAACAAAATTCTGGATCAAAATCAAAGTAAACATCGTTTGAATGCCAATTGTACAAACTCACGTTCAGCTGCAACAAACTTCGAACGGTGCGCAACATTTCGCTTCAAGTCTAATTTTACAAAATTATATGGATTTTAATTACTACACTAGTTCGTCACTTCTGATTGTTCAAACGAAAATTACTCCAGCCTCCAAGGCCGGCTTATTTTGAAACTTTGTTCGACATCGATTGCTTGATTTCTTCTGCAAATTTGCATGTGTGAACCTAACCTCAACGCATCAACAACAATGACAATTTTAGTTGCCTTGTAGGAGCGCTGAACGCAGTGTGTTTTTTTGGAGTAGTCAAAAAAAAAAAAAATAGTATTGGAGGTTAAAACACTCGTAATCGACACACAATATTATGTGTTTGTAACTGTCAAAGTTTATTTTATTGAATAGGATCGAACGATCTTGCAAAAAATTTATCGATAACTAAGGTAGTTGGATTGCACTTATGATCGTTTATACATGTTGGGATATTACTGATTTGTTCTCTTGTTATTGTTTACATTACGCATAAGAGTGTGTTTCTGCTAGGAAAGATAACATGTTCTAATTTTCCAGCAAAATGAATTTTTCATTGTTCAAAAGCTTTCAAGTGACAGTGAGGAATTGTGTGAGGAAAATCTTGACGCCCCCGACACTGCAACCTTGTAACAGCAGAGGAATCCATCACACTTGCAGTCGGTTTTCAATATTGAACACAAACCATTACCAGAGCCCTGGCAAGCCTGTGAATTATCTATCATCGACATTAGGACCAACTAATTTTCTTGCACCAACAGTAGTTTGCTTCAATCAAGTATGTGGACTAAAAGTTAAAGGCAACCTAATTCTGCGGTGCAAAGGTTGTTATTATTTTGCCAGAGAGGGTGTACTCCACGTTATGTGCAAACTAAAGCCCAGACACAAGCAAGTACAGATGCAGAAAAAGTTTAAAAATAGGAGGATCCTCACTTTTGCTCACCAAAAAAAGATTTCAGATTGGTAACTTGAACTTACACGTTGGTATGGATGAAGGTCAGACAGAGAAATCATGTTATATGAATAGTAATTTGCTTAAGAAAATTTGTAAAATAAAGATTATTTGTTACTGGAGTTTGTTTTCTTTTTCCTTGATTAAAACTCGGTAACTTTCTCTTGACAAGAAGTATCAAACTTAGTGTATACCTGCGGATATTCGTTAATCCTGTTTTTGCAGAGTGAATATTTGAGAAACATTTACACCATAGTCATTTTTTACTTTCAGTAATCTATCGATGAACAATGCACATGAATGATCGTTTATACCTTAAGAGAAAAATAATCGCATTTATTTGATAAATTATAAAAGAAGCAATAACAAAACTAATGAGAAAACCTAATAAAAAAAATAAAATAAAAAAAAAATGTCCCCAAGTTCACTATCTGCAATCAGCAGCCATAGTCCTGCGAGCGTCTTGTCGTCTCTGCTCGTCCTTGGTCGCAACAGTCAGGACGAGGCCGACCAACAGAACAAAGCAAAGACCAGCGTGGGCCGGCGCGTCACCGTAAGCCTCCATGAGCCGAGACAGGGTAACCACGAGGACGATCCCGTAGACGTTGTTCGCGACGTTAAGGATACCCGCGGTGTTGCTCTCGGACTCGGGGTAAGTGTACTCGGCCGCCATCTCGTAGCCCAGAGCCAAGTAGCCGGACATGAAGAACCTTCGGGCAAAAAGTGTTAGGTAAAATCTTTTTTTTTTTTTTAATATATACAAGTACTCATAGTGGGTACCCCAAAAAAGTCGCGGCCACGTAGACCATCCGCTTCATCCTGAGGATCATGGCCGCGGCGAAGAGGATTTGGCCGCATAGCGTTGAGAAATACACCGTAACAGTGGTTTCTCTGTAATAATAAAATGATGATGCGTTACCTCTGCAAAAGAGACTTTGCTTCTTTGTTTTTTTCTTTCTTTTCTATGCCCAGAATTAGTAGGTATATTGTACTGATACCGTTCCAATGCAATTTTTTTCCAAGTGTTACTTAAATAAAACCGTGTATATTTGTACATATATAATAGAGCTTTTGTTTTCGGAAACAGCAATTTTAGAAGAAAAAAAATAGTGAAAGTATTTGATTGCAAACATTTTGCATATTCAACCTTAATTAACATTTGAAATGTATGTGGCGCTTAATATTTATAGAAAAAAAAAATTTCCCTCTAAATATCGTGTTGCGAATAGTTTGGTTGATTTGGTGTCAAATAAATTCAATACGATCACTTTGTCAATTGTTTTACTTTGTTTCTTGGCGTGAAAAGCCGGTTTTTCGCCAGGCAGAGCAGTTTCGACTACATCTCCGAAAAAAAAAAAAATGCACCGGCACGCGAAGAAAGTGCCATATTCCTTGGTCAAAAAAATGTCACCTTATTCACTTTATCCCCGTGTTCTGCCAAATTATATGGTACATATATATTTCATCCCGGCGGGATAAAAAGCACCACTCACTTGAACTTGTGCGTTTTGTCGAGCACAGCGCCAAAAAGTACGGACCCCACCATGCCCGCCACTATCATCAGCAAGCCAATCCTTCCTGCGTCCTCTTCTCCGTTCTGCAGAGCGCAAAACCAAAACTCATTTCATCGAATTGCAAACTCTTGTGTAGGTCGCATAATATTATATATTTGTAGCATGTACTACTTATCTACCTCGAAGCGCGCGAGGAACATTTGATTGAGCAGCGTGGCCACGGCGTTGAGAACCCCGATGCTGAGTCCGTAAGAATGGCACAGGATGAAAAAGCTCCGATGATCGCCCAGGAGCCTCCCGATTGGCTGCAAAAATCCCTCCTTCGACCCACCACCCGCCGAGACTTTGCCCTCTTCCTTGGCCTTCTGAAAAGCCCGCGTCTCGCTCGGTGGCAACTCGGGTTCCTCCTGAAACACTTTTCATTGGGACGAAAACAACGCATATCAACCCAATGATAAACGCGTAGGCGTTTTTATATATATATATATATATACACCCAACACTGCCACTGCACAGCCCCTCCGTTTTTCAGCTCATTGTATAATAAGTATATATCTTTTAGCTCAACTCACGCAGTACCACCGCGAGAAGAGTAAGGCTTGCTGCTATGGCTGCGGCGTGGGAGAGGTTGGCCAGATCTCGGCCGATCTTCCGGGGATCCTCGTGATTGCCCACCATCATCGGTGGTAAAAGAAACGACACGGCGATGCCCAGTTGGGTGCCGAACACGCCGATCGACGTGGCCGTCGACAACTCGTGGGATCCGAACCACTTGGCGGCCAGTCTCCCTGGGATCGGCAACATCAGTGCCTATACGCAAAAGCCACATCCATATAAAGGAGACCCCCACAACCGTAAATTTATAAATAACATATCTAATACCGATGTATCGTGTCCATATCATGCAAAAATGTGTACCTGAGTGGTAGCGACGACGGATTGCCCAACGAGCGCAACGTGAAAGCTCCGGGGCGTGGTGGCGTAGCTTTTGATCCAAGCCCCCGAGCAGCTGAGGACGCTGCCTAGAATCAGCGTCTTGCGGACACCGAAGCGTTCGGATAACCAGGAGGCCGGGAAAACAAAGGGCACGTAGTAGAACATGTACGACATGGCGCTGCAGTCGACCGCGAACGAGGACACGTTGTAGTATCTAGGGTATATAAATATATGGAGACATGCCGTGGAAAGAATGATGAAGATTCGGGGAAAAAGTGTGGGGCTTTGCCATGAACAAATAATCTATACATGGCTATGCAGTTGCGACTACAGGTTATTGGGGCTGAATTTTAAAGAAGAAGAAACATTGTTTTTAAATCTCATTTATTCAAAAATAATATTCAGCCGTTCATGGTGTTTTCGCATGTGTACTACGGTTACACACCTAACTTGGGAAGTTTATGCATTTTTTAGCAAAATTTATAAAGCTTGACATTTTTAAAAGACTTTATACGTTACTTTGAATGCCTCTTGCAATCGTTTTTCAGGACTTGAAAAGTGCGAAATTACGCTTCATCACCGCGTACCCTTACATGACAAGTATATAATATGTACACGATAAACATATAAAAACAAATATCGTACGAACACTTCCAAATATTGCGTGACGAAATGATGTTCACTTTTTTCTTCTCGAAACATGTTTTAAAATAAATATATATGTATATCTTCTTATCAGTGATTCACCTATCTGATATTTTTGAATAAGGAACGCTAATGGCCCATCATAGGTTGATAGGTACGTATAAATATGAATTACAATGATAAAATCACATGATTGTATTTTTGGTAAAACACGACCATATATGCATATATAAAATGGTTATTTATTATACCTGGTGACAATATTCGAAATGATGGAATACTGGACCCACTGTCCGTTAATCGTGGTGGAGTAGAGGACGAAAAGCGCCATCATGAGCCACCTGCGCTTGTAAGCCTTCAACGTAAAACGGCCATCGCTCCCCCCCTGGTGCATCCACCCGTCGCCGCTACAATCCTCGTCGTTAATTATCATCGGCTCTTGCTGTTGCCGCTGGTCGTCGGCGTTTTTCACCACCGCAACCTCACTCGCTGCCATCGTAAGTACAGTATAACGCCAATCAGAATGCAACTTCACCCCGATTATAATACCTCACGCCTAATTCGATCGCTGCAACTTTTCACTGACAATTACAATAATCATTGGTCCATACTATATGTGCGCTCATTACCAAATCCGTCCAACAGTGTTATCATTAGTTGTGATTATTATTATTATTGTTTCTTTATTTGTGAGACCTGAATTTAAAATTTTATGGTTTTTACTACGTCGTTAAATAACGAAAATAAATGTAATTATTATTAACAATCGGTTATAAACGGGTTTTTTCACTTTTCAAGATATGTACAACGTAAACAAAAAAAAACAAAAAAAATAATCATCTTGATAATACAATTATAATAAATATTGTTGTTGGTTATTCACTTAACTGATTTTCACTATGTATGTATTACTTTATACTTAGGTGTATATACTTCAATGGCACTACTTTCAGCTGCAGCGCACTCGCGACAATGAGCACAAAAATCGGCCGCGAAACTGATCAACTGGTTTCAGCTGGAACACACGGTGTACCACGGCCGTGTGATGTTTATAATTAGAGGGATAAATGTACGTATCAGCTGTTGAAATGTCTTTGCCTTTGGCGAAGCTTTGTTTCCTCCTGTTTGCCAAAAGACTATATATCTGTACATACAACGCCTTATCAGATATGCGCCAAACAGCCGGCCGGATCGTTGATTCTCAAATTTATCATCCAAGTCTCGCATACTTTTATATGTTCGTAGACACGTGTACGTTTATAAAATAGTATTCAAAGAGCTGCACTACGTATCGTTTACAAATTTTTAGTAATGAAATTTTTCTTGCCATTTTACATCATACATAAAAAACGAGGTTGCCTAAACAGGCGTTTACAGGATTTGTTATTATTACTTCTTTTTTTTTTTTTTTTTTTTCATAAGAAACATTTATGAAGCTTCAAAAAATTCAATGAATGCACGTGTTTTTCAGCGATACAAAAAATCAATTTATACGGTTTTTAAAAATTTTCTTTCGGTAATCGAACTACAGCCTTGACTTACGCTCTCAGTGAACCAGATAAGGAACGTGTTGATTTATTAAAACTGTTACCAAATCATGATGTGGATGTTAATTCACCATATAGGTCCGGGAGACTCGCGGTCGATTTTATTCCAGCAAAAGAATTTTACGTCGATTATTCAACTCATTTTTCACGCTTCATTTTGGACGAACACAACAAACTATGCAGCACTAGAAATGAAAATATTGATAAAATAGTTGAAATTTTCGGAAAGCACATTGTTTACTTATTAGACATAAATGAACTTGTCAATCTAGAAAGTATCGAAAGTTTGTTTTTTAGGTCATATTTACATGTGCCAACTCTTGGTATATATATGTGAATAGAACGATGATAACTATTTTTTTTAAATTATTTTTGTATATTGCAGTCTTTTTTCGTACTATGTATCTGTCTCATATATAAAAATTTAGAAATTTAATTTAGTTTGACTTTGGCGCTTTTTATCCCCATGCCCTCACGAGCGCCGCCACATGGCAGAATATCCCTCAGAAAACAATGGAAAAACAAAAATTTTATCACAACGTATCGTTTTATGATTTGTTGTCGGCAAAATTCAATGTACTGACATCATAGTAGGTATACTAAGTATATGGTCGAAACAAAAATTTGATGGAGGCGTTTGAAACAAGTGATTATAGAAAAAAATGTCTCTTGTATGCACAAAAGCTACAAGATAAATGCAAAAAAGCACGGGATAAGGCAAAGTTGTTAAAAAAAAGTATAACTATTTTTAGTAAACTAACAAACTATCAACTTCCTGAAATTATAGTTGAAAAAATTTCAAGGCTTTTGAATACCAACGATTTAAAAACTATAATAACCTATTTTAATAAAACATTGGGTTATGATGACATTGCTGATGTTCAGCCAGCAAAAAAAATTAAGAAATGTTAATCACTTTTTCGAGATTTTTTCCTAATCTACGGAATGTATTTGATGTCCAAATTCATTAAATAAAAAAAAAATTCAGACGCTGGCTTAAAAAATGTATAAACATTTTAGTATAGTCTAGTTGTACAAAAAAATATTTTTTTTTACATTTTATTCATTTGTAGTTTGAACAGTGGATGTTTTAAAAAAGTTTTAATAAAGGATCACAATAATAAAAGTTGACTAGTAACGGAATTTACCAATTACTCTCTCAAAACTCACAGTTGTGGGCTGCACCCTTAAAAACACATAACAAATGTGGATACAGAGAAATAACATAAAGTAGGGAATCCCCCCCTTAGTCGTCATCAGTTCTACGCGCATAGAGCTGTAGCTACCTTCGTTGGTTGGGCTTAATTATCAGTAGTTTTTTTCTGTATGTACATAAGTACAATAAGAGGTCAAAACAAACACAAACAATTGGTCAAAGCTACACTAGTGTGGTAGCTACCAGTGTACTTTTGTGATACAAGAGTGCCAAAATAATTAAGGTGTGGTTCTTGGCTTTTGCTACGTTTCTTTGCTAAGTTCACAAGTTGTCACATTCAAAGGTCTGCAGAAGCAGTAAATAATACAGTAGGTATATTTTATTGACAATCTTTATTTACTTACTCAACCTTATGTTACTTATTAAACCCTGTTTTTTACCTATTTACATAGTTCAATGTATTAATTTGCATCAACATGTATACAAGTTTTTGAAGTACATTTTGTTTTGTATCACGTGGTAGATTTTGAGTGATCGAGAATCGAGACTTTATGTCTGTTGGCGTTAGTATTTGGCTGACACCCTCTTTTTTTTTGTCGCGTTTGACACTTATATTCACTCATTGCAGGATGAACGGCATGACGCTAATCTATGTAGTTATGTACACGACGAGATAAAACTAACACAACTACACACAACACTTATTTAACAAAATATTTATTATTTCTTGAACTTACGTGTTACTTATTTATTGTACATAAAAGAAACGTTAATACTAAAACCAGAGCATTGTGGTGTGGCACATAGCTTGCTGCAGGGCTTTATATCATCAGGTGTACGTGTAGTTATAGTGAGTCGAGTTTTTTGTTTGTTAAAAATTTTTCGTACATTTTTTAAAGCAGTTATAGGGTGTGGTTGTGTGTTTGTAACAGCCCAATACTACTGTCGAAATTGAGACTAACGTTATTTAGCACAATACTTTATTGGAAATCTTTTTTAATATAGGTATGTCATTTGATACGTGATATTTTCATTTCTTTTCATAGATTTTATTGATCCATCGATCACCAATAAAATGGAGGCACATGCTCGAGCTCCTGAAGCATTGACAAATACCAAGCCCATGGATAAAACATGGAAAATGTGGAAACAAGAGTTTTTTATCTTTTTGAAGTTGGCTGGTTACGACAGCACTGACAGTGAGAAGAAAGCATGTCTCTTACTACATACAATGGGAAAACTGGCTCATGAAGCCATGCAGAACATGCAATTTGAAAGTGAATCCGAAAAGATGGATTATGACATTTTGATCAAAATGTTTGACGAATACTTTGATCCACCCAAGAGAGAAACCGAAGAACGATACAATTTTTACATGAGACGTAAGAGAAACAATGAATCCGTTGAGGCTTACATCACTGATTTGAAAGAAAAAGCAAAAAGTTGCAACTTTGGCGACCTCACCGAAAGTTTGATTCGTGACATGGTGATCTTAGATATAAAGGATAAACATTTGAGACAAATCATGTTCGATGCAAAGGATTTGGATATGGATAAATTGACAATGCTGTACAAGCAATTTGAACTCAACACCGAGAAAATGAAAGAAGTTACAATGAAAGTCAATGAGAATTTGTCAGAGGCTAAAAACGCAACACCTAGTGCTTCAAGGACATGCTTCAAATGTGGAATAAGTCATCCTCCAAGGAGTTGCCCAGCATTCAAGAGCACGTGTGAGAAATGTAAGGAAAAAGGTCATTTTACTCAGAGATGCAACAGTAAGAACAGAACTAAAGATACAAGCAAGAATTATAATAATGCCCAATCCCTGTTCAGTCAAACTGTAAAATCAAAATTTGATAAAAATTAAAGAGTGGTGAAAATTATATTGTTTATATCAAAATATTCATTATTCCTATTTTGGCATTACTTAAAATATTCTGTATATGTACATGCAATAAAATCATTAGTAAATAATGCAATTATTGTGTCAGAGTATAATAATGTATATTTATTAATACATTACATATAAAACAAATATATACTTAATTGCGTATTTTTTAAAAACATATAATTATGTACCGGTGTCTCTCAACGTGATGAATTTGAGATCCTAAATCCCAGGGCCACCAAATGACGATCAAATTTGATAAATAATTTGATCATAAAAGTTTACGGGAGAATATGGCAATAATTCTAGCTATGTCATTTTTCGTATGTACTTCACGAAATACTATATAAAGCGAACATTTTCTACAAGTAATGAAGTAACTACCTTGTGATGAAACGAGCCATTCCAGATAAGATTTGAGTCATAAAACTTTCTAATGACGATTAGTACTCTATAGGTATATGTACAATCGTACTAGATTTAAAGGCGGGCGACGTATCGTCAGGAGATCCGTTATACTGTACTGCCTGTGCTTCCATAAGTCAATGGTGAAAGGTCTAAGGTATTGTAAGTTTGTGAATATGGTTGATTTTATAAGCCACATGAAATACTTAAGTAGAATATTTATACTTTTACATGTCGATTTTTGGCTTGATGATAAACTTTAAATTTGCCGCAGATAACACAGAAAATTTAAACTTTTTATTGTCTATCTATAAAATCAGTTGCGGCTAGTTTATAGTTAATAAAGTGGTTCTACTGCTGTACAGAGTAATAGTTATTTGGATCAGCGCCATCTAGCGTTACGGATTTTTGAACTAAAAAGTGGCCCTAAACTTTTAATACAGAGCAATTGAGCTCAGAGCTATTTAGTCAGTTACAAACCAGCCGCAACTCATGACGCAGCTATAAAATGAAAAAAAAATAAGATATGTGTTTTTGGCGGCAAGATAACAATCTATCTTTTACTCGAAAATTCATCTTCAAAAGTATAAACACATAGGAGATCAATTGTTTGGTAGAAAATAAATTGTAATCTTGCCGCCAAAAGCACATGTATTATTATTTTTTCATTTTATAGCTTTATCATCGTTTTAATTTTATAGTTTTAATCAACAGTTAACTTAAGTATATGATATGTATTGTGTCACTGAAATCTTGAATAACGATCAAGCACATACGTGAATTTATTAGTCTCTTGAGACAACCGAAGAAAAAAGGCTTAATAAAGAGTTTCAGTCACACGAAGAGTCTCCTATGAATGGAGCATTGGATCTCACATAATCAGAGAATGTTCTTTGTTTATTGATAAGACTTAAAATTTGCTCATCTGTAATAAATGTATTTTTTATTTAGTAAGATCCAATGGTCCATTCTTAAGAGACTCTTCCTGTGACTGTGCTTCTCTTTTAGGCCTTTTTTCTTCAGTTGTCTCTTTTCGACTGATTAATTTACGTATATATTTGATCGTAATTCAAGATTTTTGTAACACAAATTTTTATTGAAACAAGGAAAAACCAAATTTTAAAAGAGCAAATGCATTTAATTTACAGTATTAACTGTTATGATTAAAAGTTATAAAACTTGAATAATTGCTTTATTCAAACGTTTTATCAAGATTTATGTTTCACTTTTCTCGTTGGTAAATCTTATTAGTTCATAAATTTCTCTAATATTTTGTTATTTGTGATGCAAGTTGAGACTTTTAACTTGTGTGTTATCAAACTTTGTTATTGTTATATTAAAACCTCACAACATGAATGTGTGATACATTGCACTGTAACATAACACTGAAAGTTTTTTAAATCAAACATAAACCATTACATTATTTTTGAGGATTAATCAAAATGAATTTATTATATATAACAACTTGTTAACTTTCAATATTTAAAATCATTTAACAGTGTACATACAAGGTCATTTCAATTAAAAAATTAATTAAGGTAGGATTGGTAGGATCAGCTTCTGCAGATTTACAATAAGATTTAAGAGCTGCTTGTATAATCGACATTTATTATTTGTTAAATGTAAAACAAATAAAGCTCTCTATGTTTAATTAACAAATTTTCTTTATTTACAAATAAACACAAACCCTTAACATAAAATTATGAATTTTCACTTTCTTTTTATCTTTTAAACACCTCTGATTTAGTGAAATTAAATGCTCCATTCTTATGAGACTCTTCTTGTCCCTGAACATCATTTTTGAGCCTTTTTTCTTCTGTCATCTCTTTTAGACTGATAAATTCAAGTAGTTAATTGACTGTTCTTCAAGATTTCTGTAACACAATACGTATCATATAAGTAAACTGTTTATTTAAACTATAACGTTGATGGGCCGTACTTCCATAAGTTAATGGTAAAAAGCTTGAGGTATTGTAATTTTTTTTTTTGTGGTCGATTTTATAAGCCATATAAGATAAGTAGAATATTTATAATTTTACATGTCAATGTTTGGCTCGATGATAAACTGTAAACTTGCCGCAGATAACACAGAAAATTTAAACTTTTGATTGTCTATCTATAAGATCAGTTGCGGCTGGTTTATAGTTGACAAAGTGTCTCTACTGTGAAAAGTTGAAAAGTATATTTATTTAGATCAGCGCCATCTAGCGGTCTTAATTTTTTGGCCAAAAGTGGCTCCTAAAATTCTGAATCGGAGCAATCAGGATTAGAGCCATTTAGTCAATTATAAACCAGCCGCAACTTATGATAAAGCTATAAAATAAAAAAATAATAATACATGTGTTTTTGGCGGCAAGATTACAATTTATTTTCTACCAAACAATTGATCTCCTATGTGTTTATACTTTTGAAGATGAATTTTTGAGTAAAAGATAGATTGTTATCTTGCCGCCAAAAACACATATATTATTTTTTTTTCATTTTATAGCTGCGTCATGAGTTGAGGCTGGTTTGTAACTGACTAAATAGCTCTGAGCTCAATTGCTCTGTATTAAAAGTTTAGGGCCACTTTTTAGTTCAAAAATCCGTAACGCTAGATGGCGCTGATCCAAATAACTATTACTCTGTACAGCAGTAGAACCACTTTATTAACTATAAACTAGCCGCAACTGATTTTATAGATAGACAATAAAAAGTTTAAATTTTCTGTTTTATTTGCGGCAAGTTTACTGTTTATCTTGTACCCGAAAATCGATCTCCAAAAGTATAGTCATTCTACTTATTAACTTACAAGTTAATAAGTATATATATGATTCAATAAAATCGACCATTATGGCACTACTTAATAGTGCAGATTACTTTAGGTACATAACTTCAGGTTTCTTTAAGTACACCGTGGACCGTGATCTCTTTACCAGAATGATAAAATCAGTATATAGGTGAAAAATCGCGGACGTGCAGGGTCTATATTTGCGTGCTTCGAGATACGCAATACGGCTATTTAAATTTGAAATGCTGTCGTCCTCACTTGTAAGTTTAAAATCTGGTTGAAATAAGTAGTTAGTAAATTCACAATAACTACTGTTATCCGTCCGAAAAGCATTTATGATCTAACACACTAAACGTGAATCGAGCAACACGCCATAACCAACAATTGCCCTGTGTTTATTTGTTTATAGCCAAAATAAAAGCTAAGTACATAGTACTGCGGTGATGAAATACGAGAAGCTGTTCCGTCACCACGAGCAGCGAGATCTCCTCAGCAGGCTGCTCGATGTCATCCTTGCAAACGACATTGATCTGGTGCAGTCAATTACAAACTTGGAGAAGATCGACATCTCTAAGACCGGGCTACGGTGCCATGCTCTCCTGTACAGCGCAATAAGTCACGGCCACCTGGAAATCGCAGAGTGGCTCCTCAACCAGAACTGCCCGGTCAACGCAAGTGACGATGCCACCCTCGTCCCCTGGAGCAACGCTCTCCACGCGGCCGTCTACTACAGGCACAACGTCATGGTTGCAAACTTGTTGGCACGGGGCGCTCACACCACGGCTCGAAACCCCGAGGGCCAGACTCCCTTGTACGTAGCTTGCGACGTCGGCAACGTCGAGGCCCTGGAGCTTCTCCTGTCCGAGGACAAGTCTGCCGTGGACTTGCCTGATAAGTATATGCACAGTCCGCTTCACGTTGCTGTGGAAAAGGAGTGCCTCGAAGCAGTGCAGCTGCTATTGGGCCATGGTGCAGATGTCAACGCGCGCACTGGCAAGGAGGGCCTTGAAGGTTGCATGCCGATGCATATTGCAGTCATTGTTCGAAGCTGGAAAATAATTCAGGCCTTGCTGTCACGCGGGGCTGACATAAATGCAGCTGTTGGCCTGAACAAGGCTTTGCGAATGCAATGTGTCCGGTGTAACGTGGAATTTGAGGGCCTTTCACCTCTTCACTTGGCCGTGACTGCTGATGCCGGGGAGATGATAACGAAACTGTTGCTGGATCACCAAGCCAACGTCAATGCAGCTGTGGAGCACTTTGGCACGACTCCGCTGCACCTTGCCGTTCGGATGGGGAATAAAAAAATTGTGAGTCTTTTCAATGATTTCAATGCTGATTTTTTAGCGAGAACAGAGGATGGAAAGAACGCTTTTCATTTGGCAGTTGAAGGTGGTTGGTGTGAGTTGGCGGAAGAATTGTTTCTGAAAAACGCTGATGTGAGCAACGCAGCAGATAACGGCGATACTCCGTTCCACATTGCCGTCAGATCAGGATTGTTGGATTTGGTAAAAGCTATGATAGACAATGGTGTTGATGTTAATTTGAAAAATTCGCAAGGTCAAACGCCTCTGCATCTTGCTGCTCGTTCCAGTACCGAAGTAACAAGGCTTTTACTGGAAGAAGGTGCTAGCGTCGATGAAACCGATGCTGACGACCAAACTCCTTTGTCTATTGCTATAAAATCTCACTTTTTTGAAACGTCATCGTTAATCCTGAAGTACAAACCAAGCATCCTCGTAACAGCTAATAAAGTTGCGTTAATTTATGCCTTTATGAATTTTAAAGAATGTAAGCAAATCGGTAATTCACTGTCCACTTACAGTTTGCAGCTGCTCGATGATTTTGCAAACTCCAATTTGTCAGTGGAAACACTGTCTAGTTCAAACTATATGGATTTGATTGAAAATATTTTATCCAATGTATCTTCGGAAAATTCTGATTTTAAATTGAATGACAGTTTTATTTATCCAGCTAAATACAATGGCAGTATCAGAATGGTCAAATTACTTCTCAAGTACAGCTACACCTGTTTTAACTTTGAAAATGAAGAAAGTGAAAAACTAGTTGATTATGCAATTGAATCCAGTGATTTTGAAATGCTGAAAACACTTTTTTCCATTGGAGCAAAAGTGCAGCCTGATCATGTACGGTCTATTATGAAATTTGGAGATTTGAGCTTATTGAAAATTATCACCGACAATGGTATAGATGTCAATAAGGTTGATGAGTATGGCACGACGGCCTTACATTTTGCCGTATGGTATAAGCAGACTGAACTCGTAAATTATTTAATCAATGAAAAAAAAGTGTGCATCAATACCATGGAGAAAATTAATTATTTAATTTCAGCCCAAAGCTATATTATAGATATAGCTACGTCTCCGCTTCACATTGCAGTCATGAAGAAAAATCAAGATATTGTTTTAACGTTATTGGTAAATGGTGCAGACGTAAATTGTAAAAATGGACAAGATGCTACAGTCTTGCACTACGCTACCAAAAATGCAAGCGATCTTGATATGATAAAAATGTTATTAAAACACGGAGCAAATATTAACGTTGTTGATGGCCGCAAAAAGTTGCCGGCTTATTATATTTTTAATCAAACGTGCATATGCGACGAGAAATTTAGATTATATTATGATCTAACAGAAGATTGTCACTGTGATATTGCCGAAAACTTTGATGAGTACGTTGTTGATGAAGTAGTTAAAATTTATTTAAGGCACATTATTTATTTGACCATAACAAATAAAATTGTTCATCCAGATAATATTAATATATTATCAAAATGTAAGAGTTTTGGTAAACTGCAAATTTCACATTTCACTGAAGTCACAAAAATGAAAGTGGTAAAGATTTTTGATAACGTATCATTTTATGATGTATTGGTTAAAAAACGTAATGCGTTAGCAGCTTACGGTCGTAATAAGGAGTTGGTGCTAGCTTTTGAAACTAGTAATTACAAACATCAGTTTCCATTGTTTGCGGAAATCTTGTTGGATCAATTCATTGAAGCCCAACGTCGGGCACCTTTACTAGACAGTGCTGGCACGTCTTTGCAATTTCTTGTAAATTATAGTGTTCCTCAAGTTGTTCTAAGTAATATTTTTGATAATCTTAGCTCTAAAGACTTGAATAATGTAACTTTAGCTGAGCAACTCTACCATCGCAGTACTATTAGTACATAAAAGCGAGAAAATGGCTTTGATTGTTGTAATTAAGATATATTTTTTTATACTACTGCTGTTAGACAGTTTTTTAACGATTTATACAGTGATACCAAATATAATGATTTATTTTGTATAAGTTGCATTGGTAGTTACACTAAAATAATGCAATAAAAATCCCTAATATAAAAATTTTTAAACCTTGTACATCCAGATCTTACAAATGCAGTTCAGAGTTCACAAAAGTTGTTATTGATTTAGTCAGATTATGTAGTCAAAATAAAATTGAAAATTTTATAAAAACAAATTCTAAAAAAAGTTCAAGATCCAGCTAAAAATTGTACACAACACTGATTTGCAAAAATGTAATATAAATCATGAATAAATTATTATAAATTTATAATTTAGTATAAAATGGCAGAACGTAATTTTATTGATTTCCGCGATCCAGTAGAAAACCCTTGTGTCGTATTCAATAAAAGCCCCACTTCCGAATAATGATTTTATTCAAATCACTGTGATTCTTTGTTAAGACGTAATTATGAAAAACTAAATAATATTATAAACATGCGTGAAAGTGAATTTATTGCATGTATACTTTATTTTAAGAAGTATGAATTTATTTGAACAACATTATCATTCACAGTATGCACGCGATGATGTCGATATAATTATTTATAAAACTCCATATTAAAGGCTCAAATTTGTAAAAGTCAATAGTTGTAATTAATTATAGAATTTCAGTATAAAAATTCCTATAAAACAATGTAAAAATTTCCTAGTGTAATTTATCAGTCATTTTCCTTTGTTTTTTTCTTCTTTTTTTAACAAAGATTAACATAGAGAGTCGTATAACTGAGGCAGTACAGCGACCAAATTAATATAGAATCACAAAATTCGCCCCATTACACCTCGGCCAGTCTCTTTAGTCGGAGTGGCAATACGTTTTCCCCAGTGTCGGATGTATTTGGAAAATTTTTAGAGGATGAAACACGAGAGGAAGCAAGTGTCCACTTGTAGACCGTGCGATCGGATCAAACTGGAGGCAGAAAATCGGCGCACCTGAATTGTTACACGAAGAGGAAAAACGAGGATTTGGAAGAGGAGAAAATGGCACGAGAAACCGAGAAAGCGACGAAAAAGAGAAAGGATGAGAACTTGGCTCCAGAAGAGTACAGAAAGCAACAGTACACTATAGATACGTTGGAATAGATCTGGGTCTGATTGTGTCGCTCGCCATGTACGTAGTGGACGTTGCAAATAGGGACAAGACCAAACAGTCTCGAACGAGAGTCGATCGAAGCGAAGAAAAGTTAAGTATATGGTACGGACCCTGAGTATGCGAGCAACTTTTCATTTGAAACGCTTCAAATGAAAAGTTGTTCGCATAACCGGGTATTTACTTACGCTTGTCAGAACACCATTCGGAACGAGTGCTTTGTAAACATTCGGTGTCATTTCCGCTTTCTCGCACCAGGTGTCACAATAGGTTACGAGGACCGAGCAGTCCGAGCACTCGACGAGCAGACGAGCACCTGAGCAATCAGTGAATCAGTAAACACTTTGAAAGGGAGAAATAAAAGTAATAAATGTAATTGTAAAATTATATTAAAATTTGTATCGATTGATTTGAATACAATTTAATTCATTAAAATGGGCAAAAAATGTAGAGTGAAAGACTAAAGGTATTTCAAGTAAGCATCTTAGTACTTATTTTTATAATACGAAAATTTAAAACTGGCGCGTAACGAGGCCATATATATATGCCATATATGTATTTTTTCTCTCTGCTCCTCCCCCGCTCCCCCCTCGAATTCTTACATGACTTACATGACTTATATCGTCGTTTCGTCGTCAAAGTGCCAAACCCCAAAAAAATCGTGAAGTATAAAAAAAATCAGAAGAGCAGTGACTTTTTTGTTTTGCCACACATTTTTAACGCACTGGTTGTTCGCGAAGTGCAGTGTACTTATAGGTATCGTAAATGGTGAAAAGTGAGTGTGTCAGCGGAGTAAGCGTTTTTATTGTTCGTGGGGGCGAAGTGGAAGTGAGGAAAGTGCATCGTGTATAAAAAAAAGAGAAGAGCCATCGGAGCATAAACGGAGAAAGATTGGGAGTGACACACACTCTCAGGGGGGAAAAGGAAAACTTGGAAGTTTTGCTGCAGTTGCACACACGAAGACGGTGACAATAACGCGAAGAGAAGTCGAGGTGAGGTCGAGGTCGACGTCGTCTGGAGCTGAAAGGGCCATTACAGAGAGCACGACAGCAGTGTGTAGCGTTAAATAACATCGGCCCCAGAGAGTATGGACTTCAACGTTAAGAAGCTGGTGAAGGATGCCGGAGCGGCCCTCAGTCGAGTTGTCCAGGTACGTAAATATAGCCATTGGCATAATACATGTATGTACATGATTTAATCTGGAGTGGGAGAGCCTCGCCCGAATTCCTCAACTAACTCCATCAGCAAAATCATCTCCTAGAAGCTCTCTTGCTCTCTTTCTTTGTGTCGTGCACATGTGTACTTATGCACAGGCGAAGAGTTACTTCTTTGACTTGTCACAATAGCTCGCGTCACACCAAATTGCATCTACTTGGATATAACTTATTCCAGCTAACGCTCAATTTTTTACTTCAACCTTAGTACTTATAGGTATTTGACTACAGCTGACATTTTTTATTTCCTTTTATATATGTAGATAATACATTCATACAAACCAGTATTGATACAGGCAATGCAGATTCCCTCTTCTAAGTATACTCATTTCTTTCATTTATCTTTTTATTCTTATTTTCTTTAAACAAATGTTTTTTAGCTCTTTTTGTTTACTCCTTCACTGCTACTTAAATGACCTCCTTTCTTGGTTCTTTTTACCGTGAAAAAAAAAAAAAAAAAAAAAAAAAAACCTGAAATATTGATTATTCTAGTTTAGATATAGAGCACCTGTAAGGTTTGTTCACGCTCTTGATTTCTTTTTTTTATTCTTAAAGCTCACTGAGGAGACACTTGGCACTTCTGAAAAGACAGAGCTTGATGCCCATTTTGAGCACTTGGCAGAGAGGGCCAATGCCACAAAAACCTGGACCGAAAAGATACTCAGGAATATGGAGGCTATGCTCACACCTAATCCTGGTAAAGCTCTTTTATACTCGAATATTTTTTTGTTTCTACTTCAAATTTCAATAGCCTAGTTATACTTATGCATGGAATGCATAAACTTATTTATGATATTGATCTACGTTGCAGGTAACAGAATCGAAGACTTTTTCTATGAAAAAATTGAGAAAAAGAGACCTAGTAGACTTAGTAACTCAGAATACGTTGGTATTGACATGATAGAAGCTGGCAACGATTTTGGTCCTGGTACCCCTTATGGTAAGTTTAAGACCTTTCGTACATATCATACATATATTGCTATTCAATTAAATTAAAATGGTTCTTATTGACTTGTTGTAGGAACTGCATTAATCAAAGTTGGCCACTGTCAGCAAAAACTAGGTCAGATTGAAAGAGATTTTATTGGTATGGCAGCCAATTGTTACGTGCAACCGCTAAGAAAATTCTTGGATGGGGAAATGAAGACCATCAGCAAAGAAATGTCTATTTTGGAAAGTAAAAGGTAATTTTCGGACCAAATTAATTATTACATAGGTTTTCTGTTCCTTTACTAAAATAAAAATAAAATGAAGCCCATTACCAACCTAATATTTCATATTAATAAGTTAAACTTACATAATTTCATGGCTTCTTACAGGCTTGATCTAGATGCATGTAAAAGACGCGTAAGGAAAGCCAGGAGCATGTTAGGCCAGCAAAGTGTAAGTTCTGTTTATATACGTAACTCTTTATTATGCTATTCTCTGTTATGTGAGGAAATTCTAAACTCGATATTTATATATTGCTGCGTCAAATAGGAGACTGGAGTTTCTCCTGAAGTATTGCTTGACGAGGTATTGATAAAAAAATAAAATGATTTTTCATCATACTGTAGTAATTCCGTTTTATTTAATGTTGATTATTTTGCATGAGAAATTTATATTCACCCTACCTAGAAAATAGTACATAGTTATGTATTAGAGTTGTCTTGTTGAATTGAAATTATTATGACGTCAGTCAATTTCGATATTAGTTTGTTATAATTGTACTTACAGCATTCTAAAGTATTTCCACATATATCTCACTATTTACATCAGAGTAACATAAATGTTAAAAAATTCGTAATGTTCATCTTATCGTGTAGCAGTTTAGCTTGTATTAAATATTAGATCGTTCAAAGTATTATTTAACAAATAATTAGAATAAAAGTGTAAATTATTTTTTCCTTATACTCAGGCAGAGAGGGAGTTGAGGGTGGCTCAAGCAGATTTCGATCGACAAGCAGAAATAACTAAATTACTACTGGAAGGGGTATCTAGTTCAATGGCTGGTCACTTACGTTGTTTGCACGAATTTGTTGAAGCTCAAAGTCGCCATTATGCACAATGCCACGCAACCATGCAAGAGTTACAACGAGAACTTGCCGGGTAATTATCCTTATTTTGTTTTGTTTGAATTCGAATATCACGTCCAAGCTCGATAAGTATCATGGAAAACAAAATATGCCCTGCACTACTTTGTATTGTTTTTACTTTTGCAATATTTTTTAATACAGCTTTCCCACTCTCGACTGATCCGAGTGAGTAATGTTTTATCGTTACTTCTCCCTTACACTTTGTATGTGGCGTACTGCACGCCTGTTGGTACTTCTAGTTGATGCTTGAATCATTACTCATTCGTAAAAAATTTTAGAATCAGCGTCAAACTTTTAAACTAACATCTTTGTGTATGTGTAATGAGTGTTTTTGTAAGCCTGTATGAACTTGAATTTTTAATAGCATGTTTACAAAATGTTCTTGTGGTATGATAAATTCTACTTTGAAGAGTTTAATCAGAGTTTTCTCAGTAAGTTACTGTTTAAAATAAAGTTACTTTACAACTTGCATTCGTAATTTGGCGTGTTTAGTAATTTTTCTTTGCATGCCAGTAGACTATTAACAATAAAAGAATCACACGCAAATTCTCAAAAATGTCATAGTTACGTGTGACATACACTTTTGTTTACCACAATTAAAAGCAGCACTTTAACGCTTTTCTTACTCGCTTTTGATGTGTGCACACTCCCAAAAACCAAAAAAATGTAATAAAAGAATAGCAATGTACTCTTACAATGTCTCTATCTTTGCCGGCAATGCTTGGGGTTGCAGGGCGCGTCAGCCGAGTCCTCTGCTGCGAGTCAACAGCGAGGATGTGATTGATCTAAATCCCTCGCCTACACTATCCCAAAACTCGTCCACCCAACAGTCTATAGCTGGATCTGCCTTTGTTACTGCCACATTCGACACAGATGTTTCCAAAATCTAGTCCACCTCGCGCTCTCTTGCATTTTAATAAAATTCGGTCGCAACTCGATTCTGTTGTGCCACTACGTACTTTTATTCCTGCGTTTTTTTTCTGTTTTTTTTTTTTTTTGTTTAAATGTTCACATGTTTATGTTTATATGTGCTATCCTGCTTGCGATTAGCTTGTAAATAACGTTTAATTGACAGCAATAAAATGAGTAAGTGAAACAACGATTCGATTTTTCTCCTAGTCAAAGAATAAAATACATACGTAATAATGTTACACGTGAATTACTCGTAAATAATAATCGTGTTAAATTATTCAGAAATGACAATATTTGTTACGAGAATTTTAAGCAATATGATTTGTTGAACAAATTTGTTTTGTTAAAATTGTTATCTCAATGACAAAATCTTTTTTTTCTTTTTGTTGTTATTGTAGATGTCAATTACCGAAAATTGATTTGCATATTTAAAAAAAAAATAGTTATTCTAGAAGGTATATCTGCTAATGTTCCTAAAGTCCCTGTAATTATAGATTTACAACACTAACAATATTAGTAAGATAACATAATACTGTAATGGAACACATTTGTGGAAATAAATTATTTCCAATTGATCAAAGCCTTGCCTTATTAAATTTACCATAACACCTAACATTAAAATTAATTTTTTTTTAGTGAAACATTAAACTTTACTAACAGAATGCAATCCTTTGGTATTAGCTCATCAATGTTAATAGCATGTTTATTTAAAAATTTTTCATTACTAACATCCCTATCGTGTTACATGTTGTTCAATGTTATTAATAATTAAATGTGTTGCAAGCAACTTGTATCGTCTTAATACCAAAGAGCACTTAATGTTGTGACATATGTTTTTAAATATTTATAAATTCTAAAAAATTTAGTTGGCATATTTTTATTTTATATTTCTTACATATACGCTATTTTGATAATTATCTATTCTCATAAGTATTCTTTAGTTTGTATTATTTGACAAATGCTTTCGTAACTTTGTCGTTTGTTTTTGTTCATACATTTCGTTAAATAATTATGCTGTTAATATCTATTGATTAATTACATCTTACACTATTTTATTTTTATTAAAGGACTAACGCGTGAACTTATTTTAATTATATCATGTCGGAAAAACTGTATAATTACCAAGTGCTTAACGATGAAAAAATTGTGTGGCTGTATATTATAAGTCAATTATATTCATAGTTTGCCCTAAAGAGAGCTTATAATAATAGTAGTGATGATTTTAGTTGACAAAAGTATTATTTAACTAAAAATTGTGCAATTTCAAAAAAATATTTTAAATACCATTTTTCGCTGCCTAGATTCTACGAAATACACTCGCGTAGATTTTAATGAAAAAAATTAATAATCCACTCGAAAAATATCAAAGTACACACTGTTTCTCTGTAATGTTTACATTTTGCGCCTTGATAAGAGAAAAAGTATTTTATGCAATGTGATAAAAAAAAGTTATTATGCGCTCTCGCCAACAACCCCTTGTCTAATAAGGAACCTAAACCCTATAACAACGAAAATAAAATCTCTCGAGTCTCTGCATTAAAAGTGTCTTCCCCTCCCAGTTTGTCTGGGGCATCATTCCACCCGAGCACCTTGATAAATTCCACCAGCCACGAGGAAGCCGGAGTAGTAGAGGAGAACGGCCAGAAGCGAGCACGGGTCATCTGTGACTACGAGGCCAGGGACGAAGAGGAACTTAGCGTTTGTCAGGATGAGGTAAACAACAAGTTTGTCATTTGAGGAGAGAGTGCACCGTGTGTACCTTATATTTTATACAGTGTCTCTCCTCTGCTCTCTCTTTTTTCCTCTCCCTGCCTTTTTTTTGCGAGCTTTCTTTTGGAAGATTGTATTTTTAGTACATGTTTTAGCATTTACCTTTTTTGTACCAAGTGAGGTGTAAAACCTCAGTTTTTTTCTTTTCTTGTAATATAACTGTTCCTGATGTTTCTTACGTCGTCCATTCCTCGTTTACGCTGATGATTTTTTTTTTTTCAATTTTCCACTGTATGCGTTCGTTGTAAACAAATTCAGTTGTTATTATCTCTTGAGATGGAATAAATGCATGAACAAATCGTGATCTTTTTTTTTCACTGCTGAATTAGGCTTTAATGTTATTCATAAGTTATAGATCGTATGTTGTTATTAGTTATTAATGCAGCTTTTTTTACTGCGTTACGAGCATTACGAATGTCAATCTTTTTTTTTTTTTTTTTCTCTGTACAGTTACGTGTACTTTTGTCGAATTTCCCATTACTGTTTCATGTTTAAAATTGTTTACCTGATGAAATTTTTTCGTGATTAAAGTTGCTCTTGCATGAATTGATACAATAGGCATCAACTTTCACACTGTATAGAGTTGATCGAAGCACATTAGTTTAAGTTATAGTAAAAAAAACATTTGTATCTTTGTTGTAATTAATTAGTCTTTTTTTTTTTTTTTAATGCCTTGTGCTTTTTACAAACGTAATTTTTATGTAAGTATGCGGATGTGTATTTATTTGAGTATATTCTGTTTTGTACATAACTTTGAATTTATAAAACGTGCATTCTAATAAATTATTACTTTATCGATTCCTAATGTATGCTGGTATTTTATTTTTTGCTACTCCTTTCCGATTTGGTGTGTTGTGTTTTTTTATTTGACAAAACTAAAAAAATCTCATATGATATTTGTAAAAATTCACTTATAGGTCATAATTGTGCGTGAAATTCCTGGAGACGATGATTATCTACTGAGTTTTCGGGGTAACAAGCATGGAAGAGTCCCTAAAGCTTTTGTAGAAATAATATCATACTATTAAAAGAAAAAAATCGTGAAAAAAAAGTAAACTAAGCAATGAGATTTCCAGATTTTTCAATAACATGAAAAATAAAGAATTCTAAACAAGATCAATTAATTACTATGTGATAAGATATTTATGAAGTTTCAAATTTTAGTCATTCCATGGTACGATTGTATATGTACAGTATTTACCTATTATAGTTAAAGTATAGAAAAATTTAGCTACTTACAATGTTTTAATGATGGTTACTACTGCCTATTATGTTACACAAATGTATAAAACTAAGTGTTTTTAAATTTGTAGAGTTTAATGTTCATCGACCAATTGTTTAGAAATGTCAATTTAACAGAATAATCATGTTGCTTGCATAATAAAAATTTAAGATTTGAAAAATATGCAATTTTTTTACACTGTACAACATTAAACTGACTTTAAAACACATAAGAGAATTCACAAAGGTTAAAATAGATTTTATTAATAAAACAAGTTAATATCCATAGTTTGCATTTTCTTAGAAGATATCTACACAAATAAAAAATGAAAAACAATACTATATTAATAAAATTAATGTTAAATCGTCAATTATTTGAGTAAGTTTCTCAATTAAAAAAACTTCTTATGTACAACCCTCTTTATCTACATTTGTACAGTAGGTCATAAAAATCTGTCTGATGTGATACAAATTTATAAAAATTTCTGCAGAAATGGACTTTTTTTCTATTGATACATAACATGACTGCAGTCTTGGACTTGAAAATGTCCTTGTTTTATAAACAATACTTGAAAAGTTAAAAAAATATAGATTATAGAACTGATTGTTTACTATAAAAACATAATTTTTTTCCATTGTCAGTAATTCATTCACTGAAATGGAAAAGTATCTTAAGTTACTTCAGTCTAATGCCCACAGTCTCTCAAACTCTTTGCTGTAACTTTTTAAAACGTCAGGTTTGTTTATTACAAGTATATTTTCATAATTATTGAAAAATGCTTGTGACGTCCAATTAGCACTACCGGTAAGTACTAACTTTTTATCAATGATCGCAAATTTATGATGCATATTATCTGAAATATCTATCCGTCTCACTGGAATACCTGTAATGAAAAAAATTGCAAATTAAACATTCCTTAATGTAAATTACATTTTGTAAAAAAGTAAAAACGATGAGCAAACCTTCTTTTTCCAGAAAGTTGATTTGACAGTGAATATTTTTATTGGATTCAGAATCCGTGATAACTCTAACTTGAACATTACGTTCATTCAAATGAACTGCTGCCTTAGCTAAGGGATGGTAAGTCCAAAAGTTCATACAAACATCTAACGATTCTTTAGCTGATTCTATGTATGTCAACACTTTTCTGTGAAGCAAATTAATTTATATAATCTTTGATTTACACATTTAATGACAAATTCTTATACTAGCTTACTTGATATTTCTAATCGGGCAATCTGGCAGTTCACATGGATTATTACTATGGTTCCTGCACTTGCTAGAGTCATCACTGAAAAACATAGTATCCATAATGATACCAGGTTCTGTATATTTTTTATAAATGAACGAAACAGTCTTTGCTGCAACTGCAAGTCCACAGATGAAAATAGTCATGTTTTTGCTTGGCAAGTAAGCCGCAAGTTCCATCTAAGAAAAAAAGAAGGAACAAAATTTACTTAACACTGCAACTGAACCTCGAGTTACATACGTTCATTTTATTTTTTTTATTTTAATGTTGAAGTTTGAATATATATAGTCAATTAAAATTTTAAGCAACAAGTAGCTTATCAATAAACAGATAGGTTAAGTTATGTTATATTTTTTTTTTTTCACCATGTATGTACTCACGATTTCTATTTACTCGTTGATTAAAAACAATATCAGTTCACACTACGCACGTCGGTGTTGTTGAATTTTAGAAGTTGATTTTGTAAAGTAAAATTATGTAAAAAACTGGTTATAAATTAAAATGATCAATGAATCATGCACTCGCTTAGAAATTGTTTTGGTGCGCGCAGATACGGTAACTGCATGGTTGTAAAACTCGTTAATTACGGTAGACTATATATATTATAAGAGCTGGAGTCGAGTGGGTGGGTAAATTGCGAAATCGCCGCCAATTCGTCAAATATTGGGAAAACTTCAATTCGTGGAGATCCGAAGTATTTTTGCGATATCTACTGTTGATAACGAGTTAGGTTGTTTTGAAAAAAGTCCCAGGGTGTCAAACGGCAAAATACTTAGCCGCCACCTGGTCCAATAAGAAGTTGACAACAGAAAGTGACATTGGTGGTAAAATTAAACTTGGGTGTTTTCCGCAATCGTCACCAGCAAGTAATTTAAGGTTGCGCTCTACGTTACCGTCAGGTCGGTAAGTCAACTACCTTGAATTAAACTGGCGCTCTATTCCGTAATCTGGCCAGTTAAAACAGCAACTAATCTCTGACCTCTCTGAACTACTGCTGAAAATTTGGTCTATATATACTAACCAGACACTTTTTTCGCCACATGCGGGAGCGAATCATGCTGCCACGCGGTCGGAGATTCAGTTATACCATCATGTCAGCATTTACAATGCTGCAGTGTCCAATATCCGTTGTCGATAACCAAGTCAGCGTGGCCAAGCGGCAAACTCAAACGTTCTACGTTCTAAAACCAATCAACTTAAATTTACCCCAAGTACTTTAACTCCATAACCCTGTACTCTTAATCCCTTAAACCAAAGGACCCGGGGTGTAGAGTTCAATTAGTTAATAAAGCTCACATTAGGTTTATTTATAAAGATATTTTTAGAGAGTAAAAAATTAAGTTTATGACGTAAGTAATTAAAAAAGTGATTATCTTCAAAGTAACAATATCTTTTCCTCAATTTTATGATTTTTTTGGTAAGCTAAGTGCGCTTTAACGTTTAACCCATAATCTCTCGAAAGCTACTTTGTAACCGTAACCTTCGATCAATTTGGGGCTACTCGTTACAATAATATTCTCGTAGTTTCTGGTAAAAGCTTGCGACGTCCAATCGGCACTACCGGTAATAAGCAATACTTTGTCGATGATAGCAAATTTGTTGTGCATATTGTGCAGACTTTTTATCAGTTTTACTTCAATACCTGAAAACAATTCATTTATGTAACACCATCCCCATGAGACAATGAAAAAAATTAATTGAACAACAAACCTGCTGATGTTAAATCGTCAACCAAACTAGAACTCATAGCAGCGTTACCATCCAATATAATTCTGACCTTGACGTTTTTCTTGTGTAATTTAATAAGTGCCTGTGCTATGAGATCGTAAGTAAAAATGTGCACGCAAACATCTAATGTTTTATTTGCCAAATTCAAGTACCCCTTGAGTTTGCTAATAGTAAAAAAAGGTAAATATTCGATTATTACAATTACATCGACATTAAAATATTATGCGTTAAATGGCCGTTAAGTTACTTGAAATTTTTAACTGCACAAGTCGGTGAATTACAAATGATGACATTGGAATGATTCCGGCAGTTGATGGATTCATCGTCAAAAATTAGTTTATCGTCGATAGGCTTGTTCGTACTTATTTCCAAACAGCTCGTCAGAGGATAATTTTGGTTGCTCGCGACGAGAAATTGGGCTTTATTCGATTTTTCCTCGATCTTATCACGTTTGGCCCACAGTTGCTCGAAATACTTGTCGTACCCGTAGTCTTTGAAAAATCCTGGATTATTCGTCACGACTATGTTCTCCTCGTTATTCATCAGCGCCTGGTACGTCCAACTACCACTGCCTGTGATGAGCAGTGTCTTGTCGACGATGGCAAATTTGTTGTTCATCTTGCCACTGACAGCGTATACACTTCTCACCTCGATACCTGTACGACAACAGCGTGTAAGTGGTTATTAAATATTTTTTTTTTTTTTTTTTTTTTTTTTTTACAGTCCAACAAGAGAATAAACGAACCCTCTTCTTTAAGTCTAGGAATGACGCCGATCGTCGCGAATTGGGCATCGGTAATGACTCTTACTTGGATATTTTTCTTGTGCGATTCGATCAACAGACTCGCTAAATCATCGTGAGTGAAATAGTACACGCAAACGTCTAACGACTTTGTTGCCGATTTCAAGTATGCCTTGAGCGTGCTAAAAAAATGCATAATTTTTTTTTAAATTATCAAACATCGACAGACTTGGACACGATTATTCCATGGATTTTTACATGCGTTAAAAGAACATTTAAAATCTCCGACTAAAGTGCATTTTGTTGCTGAGAAATTTTGTTTCATCGTTATGTGGAATATAATATTGAGAGAAAAAAAGTTTGTACCCGAAGAGTTCAATACATTAAAGATATTAAAGTTTATTGTAAAATATTTTAAATGAAACGTTTAAATAATTTCTCGAGTACTTTGACTGTTTTTTTTTCCTCAAAATTTCATTCTTTTAAAACTGTAATCGATTATTTTTCTGAAAACAATTTCATGAAGCCTAGTTTTATAAGTACTTAGTATTTTAAAAAAATTTTCCTAAGTATAAGTAATGTTTTAAATCTTAAGAAAAAACATTATTGTACTAAAAAAAAAATTGAAAAAGTATCTGAGTCCAAGTCTGAAAATTGAGAAAAACTCACGAACTTGGTGAGTTTCTATCAAATCGCGTTTAGTTAGATGTTTGATTTTATTACTACAAAAATAACGTATATTAAATTTTACTCGAGATTTTTAGTTGCCGAAGTAGGTGGGCGCTGGCAGTCGTAGCTCCCATTTTTGCCGTAATCGTCAGTAAAAAAGAGTTTCTCTTCTATAAAATGATCTCTGTTTGATTTCTCGAAATTATTTACCGAAAGATCTTCTTTATCGCTAATTTCTGGATTTATTACATTTTTAAGGTATTTTTGATAAATTATCGAAGCGATTTTCAATACAGCCAATAGGCCAAAGATTTTTAAAGGAGATTTGTATCCACTTGGCAGCAAATTTGAAAGACTCATCTGAAATGCGAGAGTTTAATTCTTATAATTAATTAGGAAAAATAATGATTACACATTTTTGTTTGTGATTCATTTTATGTGCTTTATAAGATTGAATAATTAACATGTTACGTGCACTTCATGTATTAAATGAATCTCAGAAGCTTTTATTTGTCATTATTAATTTTACAAATCTTATGTTGCCGTTTAAATAATCCCCTAACATTACCAAGTTGAATTTTCAAAAAAATGTTATGTGTAAATATCTAGATCTAGTACAGTTTTAGTTAACTATCATATGATCAATAATACATATGCAATATGTTATCTTAAAAACTTCAAGAAAAACATTTTTTATACAGGAAAATTGTGCCAGTGCAGTACCAATATAATTCGATTTTTTAATAAATTTACAAATATAGTTTTTTTTTTTTTTTACTCAAAACCTGTGTGTGATAACTCTATAATACTGAAAGTGAAGGTCCCTAAATTATTAAAAATAAAAATAGAATTTTTTTTTGCACTGACGCTCAGTTAAAACATCAAAAAAATTCAAGAAATATTTATTACACTTTGGATTTTGTTTCATCTTTCGGGAAATCTGCAATATAGAAAAACCATGGAAACTTAAGTAAGAAAAATTTATCTAATGACCTGAAACAAAGCGAAACGAACACGACAATTAAAAAAAACATCGGTCGTGTGTTGTACCCACAACTTATTTAAAATTCTAATATTTTGGTTTTAATTTACAATCAGTTCTCTTGTGTACTGTATTACACTTTGGATTTTGTTTCATCTTTCGGGAAATCTGCAATATAGAAAAACCATGGAAACTTAAGTAAGAAAAATTTATCTAATGACCTGAAACAAAGCGAAACGAACACGACAATTAAAAAAAACATCGGTCGTGTGTTGTACCCACAACTTATTTAAAATTCTAATATTTTGGTTTTAATTTACAATCAGTTCTCTTGTGTACTGTATTGAGCTGAAATTTATATTTAATGTAATAAAAATAGTAAAATATACTTCACCGGTTATCTTTATTTACCTATTTTTATAGCATAATTGTATTGCGCATAAAATAGTTATGTACTGAAGCTTAATTACACTTTAGGAGAATATTTTTTTTCGAAATTTATAAGACGTAAGGTTTTAAAATTTCAGTAAATGTTAAAAAAAAATGTGTTTGTAAGCTCTTATAATAGTTGGATAAATCTGTTAGATAATTAAGCACCTCATTATATAGAACAATATCGAGGGTAAAATAAATACACGAACCCTATGTACTTAATATTTGGCGTATTAATTACGATGCGCCCTTATACTCTAATATACATATACATAAAATATTGAGGTTATATTATTTGAAAGATATCTAAATAATACATTTATTTTGAGTCCAGTAACATGAGAAAATTACGATTTTTAAGATTTCAAGAATACAATATTTTTATTTCTATAAGTAATTTGTTTTCCTAATACAAATTTACAAAGATTAACTTTCGACTAATTATTACTAATAACTATAACTTTTTACTAATTATTTTCCGTTTCATATTCTAATTATAGTAGATTTGTAATAGGCACACTTGGTTATTGTTGCTGGTATATGTTGAAACGTTTTTTTTTTAAATACCTTGTTAATTTTTGGTTGCCAATATAATCGAGTTTTTCAATATTTATTCTCAAACTCATCCTTTTTGGTTCAGTTAATGACAAAAACAAGTATTTTGATCATCAAAAAAATTTTATTTTTAGTTAAACAATAACTAGCACTTGACAAAACATTGCATTTCTATAAATGTAGGAGCAGTAAACAAACCAATAACGAATTTGACGCACATTAGGTGAGCAGACAATAATGCAGCAGAACAGAAAAGGTTAGTATATCTTTTGCCTTCAAGTCCGCGAAAATTTAAAAGCCGAGACACAAATGGAATTAAATGTAAGTTAATTTTATTTTCACAAATGTAGCCCAAGCTTCCAAAGTATCATCACGACATATCATACATCCTAAGCCTTTAAAACCCAGTAACCTTATGCGTAAATAATAAAAAATGAATTGTAAACAAATATGAGTCATCTGTGACTTGCACACCGTCTCCAATGATCCAAACAATATTATTGAGTACAAAAATAAATTTATCTCGGTAGTAATTATCGTATCAAAAATTCATCATGCTATATTAAATTTAAAAATAATAAGATTAAAATGATATCATAAGTTCTTTTTTTTCTCATACCTTCATTGCTGCATCATTATTCAATAATATAAATAGTTATCATTATTATTCAAGTGTATGGGTTTATGAAGTGGTAATGGTCATGCTTATTATTTTGTTCATTAAAAAAAATTTGTTTCAAAGTTGTAAATTTTTTTCAGTGAATTTTGAGCTTATTATTTATCATGAAAATTTCCAAAATAAAGATTAATTTAATTATTTGAGCTTATTGTTTTGAAAATTTCTAAAGCGATAAATTTATTGAGACGACAATATAATATATATATACACGAGCTCGCATACAAAACAAGTCTTTGTTTAATGACTGATAAAAAAAGTTTCTTATCGGTATGGTAGCAGGTGCCTAATTTTACCGATTCTCAAAGTGGGGTTTGCTTCAAAGCTATAGTTTTGAAGTGAAAGACGTCATTTTTTTTTTGTTCGAGCGAAGAAGCACGTTTCAAACTAATTAGAAGATTATCCAGTGGGAGGAATTTCAGCGAGATAAAAATTGTACCTCGACGCTAGCCTCAAGCTGGTAACGTGATCGTGGTTATAAGTCGCATTTGGCACTACATGCTGCTCGGTATAAAAAACGTTCGATCATTTGCGAGACAGTTGACGATTGTCAAACACCATCAAGCACAGAGTAAGTATACTCGTTTAACTGATTGTCACACAACTTTCTTGCGCAACATTTACTTGAAGCACATTTTTTTAAGCACCTCTTTTGAACATATTATAAATAAATTATTCATTTTCTCAGTTAGTGAATATCTGTGAAATACACAAAACCAGAGCATTATAATAAATCCAAGAGCTCAGCGAGTTTTTTTTTTCAAAAAAAGTAAAATTCATAAATAGTGTACTTATTGTCTCTATCTTAGTATCTGTTAATTAATTTTTGTAGGCTCATCCACACAACTTCGGCTGAGTGTGCAGCTCAATCATTGCGGTAAGTTGTTATTTAAACCCACCCACAATCGTAACAATTAAACTGATTTTCGCTATTTTTATCATCTAGCTCTGAGTGTAGACACATATACTCGAAACTGAGCTGCTGAAAAAAAAGATGTCGTTTTTGTCAAAAGTCTTTGTGGCACTGGGTCTGCTGTGCATCATCACCTGCAAGCAGAAGGTCGAGGCGCAAAATTTCTCTGTGGAATACGTGGATAATCGTGTGCCTATTCGTACGAAAGTGCACTACGGAATGACCTACGGGACCTCCGAAAGCCTTCTATACATGATCTGCAACAACAGAGACGATTACAAGTTCAATTGCCGCTTCAATCTGAAGATGCTCAATGGCACCGAAAAGCATTGCTCCTTGAACCTCCTGGATACTCCCGATCCTCATATTAACTACGTGAATCTTTATGGTGGACCGATGACGGGGAGCACTGCTGTGCTCGAGTGGGCCGGGTACGTCTCCGAGTACTTCCAAAATTGGGTGACCCTCGTCGACATGGACAGCTGCAAACTCGTCAGGCTGACATTTCCAAAGGAAGAAACGCCGTCTCTGACGAGAAACTTCAACTTCCGCGTCCTTGCGTACCACGACGGCATCCACATCTTACTGGACGGCGAAGAGAAGTGCGACGAGCTGGCCAAGTCGTGCTTACTCCGTTACGACTACAACGGTACACCAAATTAATATATAGATGTGAAAATGAAACGATTTTCAATCACGCGTGTGATGTTCTCCTTGTATAGGCACGCCGATCGGCCAACCGGTTCCATTCCCCATGAAACCCCGCGATAACCTAATGGTCGCCAATTGGATGGATTCGAGGAGTGGTTCATTTTTCACCGGCTCGAAGGCCAAAGGCCAAGACATCGTATTGGAGGTCAGCCACATGAGTTACAATGGCTCCGAGACGAGTGTATTGGCCAACCATTCCTTTCCGGATGGAAATTTACTCGAAGGCTTGGTGATGCGCTCGCAGGAGGACGGCTACTTGTCGTACTGCCTCCCCGAGAACAGGGGGAGCTTGAAAGTTCGCTGCGTACAGTTCGAGAGGAAGCGCCAGGTCATGGACGTGGAGGTCGCTCTGGGACAAGGGCACAGAGTGCTGGACTTATTTCATCGGCTCAATGGCGGCCTTATCATTGTGTACCTGGACTGCGCCGAGTCTTGGCTCTACAACTGCAGAAGCTCTCACGTCAAGGTCAAGGTGGTCGATGCCAAAGGGGAGGAGGTCATCGGGAGCGCCGAACTGGCCGTCCTCGAGTTGGAACGTGTGCCCACGTGGTTCGAGTACCTCAGGACCAATCACTTGGAAACGGATACCGAGCATTGCTTCTACTTCGCTTATGTGATCGAGGACAATCCGAAATTAACAGAGTCGCTGATAGAAGTACCCTTTTATGGTTTCCGGGGTATCAAAGTACGGTACTTGAAAAGGTGTATGAACAAAGAGGATGGCAAACCAGATGTGAATACACGATACCCTACTGTGAGTCCCGAATCCGAACCGAATTGCAAAAATCATATTCGTACGTGTTTGAACGAGTGCATAAACGACTACGTGGACAAGTGCAGTAACAAGTGTATAGTATAATGAATACAACTGATGGCTGGTGGCTCCAAGTCGTCAGATTTTAGGGCTTCGATTTGATACTTTTAGCTTTTGTTTGATGTACGGGTTGTTGATGAGGTTGGCTTAGATGTGCGTTTGAGGTCAGCTGAAATACCTTTTTTAGCTGGAAAATTTAAGAAATGTAATAAACGTGGATTTTGGTTTATATAATGTACTTGGAATTTTTATCGAACGCATTGATATTGAAGCATTTTTTTTTTTTTCTCATCGAGTATCCAGTCGACTTATGAATAAATAATTTTCAAAAGAAAAAAATACATATATTTATTTATGATCTTTTGGAGCGGGTAATAATATTTCGTGACTTTAATTGTTACTTATTATTATGTATACATAATCTATAGCAATGGAATTGAAATAATCATCATATAAATAATTCTACTTTTATGTGCATATACATTTTTTAAGTTCTTTGCACAAAAAAAACATGTATGTCTGTCAAGAGGACAAAGGATTTAATTGGATTTTTTTTCGTACGTGAAATTAAATGATTTTAAGTTAACGTAATGAGTGGTTGACTGCCACAATCACACATATACAGAGAAAATGTGTTTAACGTCGTTTGCTGTTTAGTATCCATTTAAATTACAATTTTCCATAACATATCAATTTAGTGTAAATTTTAAGTAATTCATAGATTTAAAAACAATTGTTATAATGTTAACATTATTTTTTTGCTGGAACTAGATAAGCCCTGTTCTACTATGTTAAAGCATATACTTGTCACGTTTTATGATTTAGGCATTAAACTACAAACGTCAGCATTTAGATTTTACCTTATAAAAATTTGTGTGTAAACTTTTGAACTGATAGTCGATTTACATGTCTTCATAAGTTTATTCGTACATTTTGGCACTCGATAGATATCACTCGGATCACTTTCATTATGCTCAAAAATAGATGATTTTTTTCTCTGGCAAAAATATAAGGCACATCAGTAAAGCAGTCGTGCCTAAAAATGACTCGTATCCCAGAAAACGTGTGTGACCAAATAAAAGTAACTGCGGTGATCGTTATAAGATTTTTCTTTGTTTTGTACTTAAAAAAAAATTTTTTTCATAATGTTTTCTCAGAAGTTCAAATTCAGTCAGGTTTGTTTTTAATTTAACAGCTAAGTTAAATTAATAAGATTTAAAACATTACGATCTCTAACTCCTACAAGTAAGCATTCAATATTTTTTTATTAAGATAGTCACATATGGTTGTTCTCGACCTAATCCATGTAATAATTGATTTCTGTAGTGATAATTGTTGATCGTTCTTAGCTGATGTAATAAAATATCCTCAGCAACTTTCGGTTGTACATAACCGACAAAAATATAAAAAAATTTAACAAAATAAAAAAAGTGTAATCTAACAGTGATACGGATTATATATATATATATATATTTCGATTGTGTACGTTTATGAATTGAAGAAGTAATAATACTCATACAGGAAGAGTAATTTTTCAATGAATAAGAAAAACAGTGATTGGATTAAATAGTTTTTTTAGGATATTAGGTTAATAACGATGAAAAAATGAGCTTATTGTCTTATATCAAATTGTTTCTTTGTTTAGTGGCTGATAACACAATTTTCTTATCTTTACGTTTCATACAACGATTGGAAATCAATATGTATAGTCTGATAATTTTATCTATTCATATATTATAAGATATGATTCGTTGTAAAACTATTGTTTAAACGTGTAGGAATTTGTAGTCGTTATAATTCCACACTAACTAGACGCAGACCACGTGATTTTTTGGTATTCTATCGTTTCCATATATATACTGTGTAATATAAAGACGATGAATTATTTTTGGAGACAGTCGACGATTGTCCAACGTCTACAGCAGGTAAGTACTTGTTGAACTCATTACAACTTCTT